AAACGTAATTTGACTTTAATTCCAATACCTCCAAATTTTCTCAATTTTTTTCCCTCAATTACAATAGGTCGAAAATTGATGATAAATTTGATGAATTTTTGAAAATCGACATTCCCATGTTAACCAATGGAAAATGGTAGGTTTGCCGCAAGTCATTTTACAGAATATCCATCCATCCAAGTCCTTGCAAAAATACGAGTTAGGCAGGCAATTGAATTTGCTAACTTTATTTAACAAAAAATTGATATGTTTCTTCAGGTTTAACAAAGTTATAGGGCTTTAAAGTCAAAATTGTTTTTCAAAAAACCTCTCCCATTGAAATAACACAGGGGGCGAAAAATTATTTTCAAAAATGACTTTGAAGCGCTGTAACTTTAATATTCATCAAATAAACTAAACACTTAGTGTTCAAAAAAGTTAGACATTTCAATTTTCTATATAAATTTTTTTTTGCTGAATCTTTTACTGAAAAGATATCCTGATTTCTGATTTACCCCGAACCCTCCATTTCCCATTGGATTACATGGGAATGACGATTTTCAAAAATTCATCAAATTTATCATCAATTTTCGACCTATTGTAATTGAGGAAAAAAATTGAGAAAATTTGGAGGTATTGGAAATAAAGTCAAGTTACCTTTCCATCATCCTCCTAAGCAGGTGTCCAGAATCCGTACCTCCTTCAAAGAAGATATTCTGGATTTTGAAGCCCTGTGATCGGAGGATGCCTTTCCATCAATACCATAAGTTATTTCATTGCCTGTTAAGTAAATAAAAATTCAAACGTAAAGAGGCTTTAACACGTAGTTCAATGGGGGAAAAAGGTTGCCAAACTTATGGAGGGGAGTGTACATGTAGCATGTAATAGTTTAAAGTTAAAGTTCCTCAAAAGAAAGCCAATGGGTCTTTTTATGATTTTCCAAGGGGGAAGCCGTTATGAAGAGGGGAAATCGAGGTAAAATATCACTACAGTAGTTCTTCAAGGGTGGTGCGGTTTTTCGAGAATTGTCATTTTTGCCGCATAAATCAAATCGCGTAAGTCAGGGGGGGGGGGGGTCGGGTCGGTTACTCCCTATATTAGGGCCACTCAGCCTATTTTGTAGTATTTTATTGTTTTTATATTGTTTTTAGTCACTTTCAAGTGTTTAATCAATAGAATCAGAAAGAAGATTTTTTTCAATCATTTTGTATTTGGTGAAGGGGAACGGGGAAAGGACAGGAAAATTTCACTAATTAAAAAAATGTACACTTTTGAGATGCTATTTGGAGCTTATTGGGCACTTGTATGAGTCAATATAAAAAATGTGAAATTTTCGATTTTTTTTATAAAAGGGTGAGGTGGGATGGAGATGCCAGAGGGGGAGCAGGGGGTTGTCCCCAGAAACATTGACCGTATCAAGGTGCGATTTGATGATGTCTGGGTACTTTAAAAGTGTGAGACAATACATGAAATTCAGAAAATTTTCAATTGGTTTGTCGGGGATGTGAGGGTTGACCAACTCTCCGAGAAAATTTTGCAATTTTAAGATGATATTTGGTGCTTTCTGGGCACAGAGAGCAAGCAAGTGTTAGTCCCCAAGAAAGATTGGCAATATCAAGGAGCTTGATGTCGATGATGTCTGGGGACTCTGTTTGCTGAGACAATACATAAACTAAATTCAGAACTATTTAATAGTTTTGTCGGGGGGGGGGGTCCTTCTAAATCAATAAAATAATAGGCATTTAAAAAGATTGGGCATTACTGGGCATTGTTTTTCAAAGTTTGGGCTTAGCTCTAATTTTCTTCCTCGCAAGCGCGGAGATTTTTAGGACCCCTCCCCTATTTTCGGGGCCACCCCTGGTGTCTTGTTATAACATCCTTGTAATTACAATGCAAAGTGCGATGTTGGTTTTAAAGCATGATAAACATTTTATGTGTGGATGTGGGGGGATCGAATCCCCCTCCCCTTTCCAAAACCTGGCTACGGCCATGCACTTGTATTTTCCTGACAAAAGGTGGCTCCATGCAATAGCCTAGGCGCAATGATTTGATGACAGGGTTCGTACACACCTGGAAATGTCAGGGAAATTGATTTATTTTTCCAGGTGCTGGAAATGTCAGGGAATTTTAAAATTGGGTCAAAAAGGGCCAAAAATGTCAGGGAATTTTGAAACAGTAGATGTGTCAGGGAAATGTCAGGGAATTTTGTATCATTGTTGAAAAAACAGTGTTCCAGAAAAATACATTTTAGGGCTATGACAGGATATCATCGAAATCCAAAATCATGTAGTTGTTTCCACAAATTGCAAATCTTTTCATTAGGGTTGATTGAATGAGATTAGATCTGGTATTGTCTATTTGAACAGTGTGAACATTATACTAAAACCGAACAATAAAAATAATGTATAGATGATATAACACAATTATGCTTTTCCATGTAGTAAGCTTAGTCTTAGGCCATTCAAAGTTAATTACTGGTATATGTTTCATGGTTTGTTGAGGGGTTAATCTGAGGGGGGGGGGCAGGAGGTGAAAAACAAAAAAAATGCTGAGAGCTCTTTACAGTGTTAAATTGTATTTGTATTAAGAAGCTGTCGGTTCCATAGTCCGACCGACGTCAGTCTTTTCAACTTTCAGGGGCTTTGCCAATTTTGAAAACCTTAGCACATGGAAGTAGGCAACCAAAATGTGGGTGGGGTACTATTAACAGATTTTGAATGTGGTCCAAATTTTTGTTCGTGTAAAGATGAACTCAGCATTTTACTTTGGCTCAAATTTTGTATGATGTAGCCTTAGGGGGACAAAGAACCTGCTCAAGAATAAATGTTCAAGATAATCTCTGAATTCAAAATTGCCACTATTTTTTATAAAATTTTTGATAATTTAAAGAAGTTTCATTAGGTGGGAATTGCCCCTCAAGTGAGTTGCTATTTTTCTAGTAGGATTTAGATCAAAATTTTAAAGTTTTAGTTGTCATTTTGATTCATTACAAAACATTAACAAATTATAGTTTGAAATGCTTAGAATGCACCATATACAATGTCAGTTTTAAAAAATTTCCGTGGTGAAGCTCCGTAAAGTTAAGTCATGAGAAATGGTACTGAAGGACAAACCCAAAATGTTTCATAATAAGTCTTTTTGTCTTCTTTAATAATACAGTTGTTTGAGATGCTTCCTAGTCAACTCGTACCCAAGACAACTGGTACCAAAGACAACTTGTACCCAAGACAACTCGTACCCAAGACAACTCGTACCCAAGTTTATTTTCAGTATGTAAGGCTTATTTCCTAAAAAAGGATCTTGTTTTTCTCAATTTAAATATCTCAAAAGTTGCTTCTACACTATATTAATAACTTCTGAAAACGGGATGGGTATTGAAATGCGATAAAGTTAAAAACCACATTGCCCATGTTATTTTCCCGTAAGGAAAACTCACGCTATCCATTGTTTTCAGCATGATTTTGGTCATAGAAAATTGATATCTTCAAAACTAGACTTTCAATACCATTATAGTTTGAAGATGTATTAGACCCCTTGTTGAATAGGACTAATCTTTTCATGCAATAAAAATCAGAAAAATTATATCCTCTTTTGAGCAAATAAGTTCAACATTTTGAAAAAATTGTAGATGTGGAGTCCCTATTCATAATTTTTCGAATTGTTCAATTGATATTTTTATCGCCATGGGGACTTCACTTAAAATAAAACATATTGTTTTAATAAAATTTACTGTATTTATGCCCAGAAAGTACTCATGGTGAAAGATATGACTAAATCACTTGCCATACTGCACATGGACCCTAGGCCCAAGTTTTGATAAATCTTTATATTTTTGATAATACCATCTTGAAGATCTGACACTTGTTCCAAACACTCATAAACATACAAAAATACCTCTAATATTTTGAACAATGATTATGAATATGTGGAATAAACATAGATCTCTTCCCTCAAACATCCTGAATCTGTGACCAATATAAAATAATTGTCAAAATAGATGGACACTTAGTTTTTCAAACCTCAAAATGTCACAAAATTAAATAGATTTCTTCCAAAAACTCTTCAACATACTTCCAACTATTCTGAACTGTATGTAACAATTATGATATGTATTTCTTTACCTATTCCCATTCCAACACTTGATTGAAAACAAAACATGAATTGAGTACGAGTTGTCTTGGGTACGGCTCGACTTGGTACGAGTTGTCTTGTGTACGACTTGACCAGTTACCGTTTGAGACTTTTTAGAGGCCGTGCAAGAAAAATTAGATCTGGAAATTTCCTTTTTTGCCTGGAAATGTCAGGGAATTGTCAGGGAAATTCATTTTGAAAAAGGTGTACGAACCCTGGATGAGTTTCAGCTTATTTTAGAACAATTTTTACATATATTTCGGAATAGGCCATCACACTTAAAAATGAGTTTAACAAACAACTTTAGCCTAATTGTTAACTTTCTATCCTAAAAATATATTTCTATTTTCTATTTAACACTTAAATTGGTGTTTGCCTCCGGGTAGACATTCACCTTATCTTGGTTCTCCCTAGAAGGCCTATCTATGACCAAAAAGGCCCACTTTCTGGGTCCACCCAGATCCGCCAGTGCTATCAGACATTGATCTTTTGATGCTCCCCTAATTGCGGCGACCTTAGGTAAAAGTTGCCGAATGATGTAAGTTTAGTTAATCAGATGTAATAATCATAGCATAGGCGTAGCCGTGGGGGGATGCGATGGGTGCTTCTAGTTCAATTTTGAAGGAAGTTGCATCAATTTTTGTAAAATTCAGAATAATTCTTATTTTTTGCTTGTTTGTGCCACAATCGCACCCCCTGACTGAAAACCTATTTTTTGGCGATAGCATGACAAATCAAGATGCATGGCTCAGCTATTTTTCGTCAACAGATCACGTGACTCGTACATGGAGTTGATAGGGGATCTGTCAATTTGAATCAGATATGGCAATAGGCGAGTAATCGCTTGATTAAACATTGATCATTTAAACGCTTTATTATAAGCCAAGCAGATTTCATACCAGAGGTGCATATGTATTTATAATAAGCCGCAGTTGAACTGTTCTCAAAAATTAGGAAAACAAGAACGGGGAAGTCAAATTACAAAGTGACTCAGAATCAAGTCCCTCTCTTCACTTTCAAACATGGCAGCGAAGGAGTCGCATTGCGGAGGAGATGTCCCGAAGAAAGAACAAATTGCTCTCACCAGAGTTAGGGGTATCGATGTGCTGCGAGACCCATACATAAACAAAGTAATGTTTTACCTCTTACATGTTAACAATGACCAAAAAATTGAGATCGATCTAATTAAAAGTCTACTATCCAGAAGTGCAGAGAATGGGGGGGGGGGAGGGGGGGTTTAAGGCTGAGTATCAGTCTGCTGCAGCATAGTCTAATTGTTGGTTCACTTACAATGAGATTGATAGGGTCTTGCAAACAGGCACTGGAGTCTGGAGCAGAGAGAGGGTGAATTTCTTTTCAGGGCAACTTTACTGTACACTGTACAGGGTGTACCCAAAAGATCGTACCGAGACAAACATCGAATAACTCAACTCTGTAATGAAAGAATAAGCTTGAAATTTGGTCATCTGACAGACAATTTTATTATCATAAACATCATATGAAATTATTTGTATTTTTTAGGACATGGCATTCACCCTAAGGGAGCGACAGCTGCTGGGTGTCCATGGCCTCTTACCACCCAGGATTGAAACTCAAGATCTACAGTGTTATAATATTATGCAAAACTTCTACAGGTTTGAGCATGATCTTGACAGATACATCTTTCTTATGGGCTTGCAAGATCGTAATGAGAAACTTTTCTACAGGTATATATAACTAGTTTAGATATATCAGTTAGGCCAAACAAAAATATATGTCTGTTTCCTGCTCCATGTATTTTCAGATTAGGGTAGGTAGGTAGGAGGATTATTTTATTTTCCATTGAAGTTTTACTCAATTTGTTTTAGGGTAGGTCAGTCAGAAAAATATTTTATCTTATGTTTTTTGCGGTTTTTTGTCATCTGTTCGTTTTGTCATTTGCTCTTAACTGCCATGAGACCTTAATTCATCATGCAATCTATAATCATTTGATCCATACTTACTTAAAACCTTCAGATATTGAACTAAATAAACAACTTGGTCAGGGTTCGAACTTAACTTTCTCGCCTGGTATTGAAAATTGTTACGTGAGATTTTTTCTAGGTCTAAATACCAAAGTAAGGTAGTTGTTATTATTGCTTGAAATTATTATTATCATGATAAAACAAAGTTTTCCTTTACACTAGGCCTATATAATAATAAACAAGTCTATTGATCTATTGATCTGTTGATCTATTATCAATTTTATTCCACCATAACATTCGAAACTTCTGGATAAAGGCCTTCATGGACATCAAATATCAGTATATTTAGCACTGGATCAGCAGAGGTTACAAAGTTGTCATCATATTAATATATGCCTCAAAAATATAATTTTTCTGACTCAAAAATAAACAGAATCAGCTTTAGAAGACCTTAGAAGAATATTTTTAATTCAAACAATTCAGAGAAAACTTGTCTCTTTGAGAACATAACATTTTCATCTGGTAAATTGGAATTCCCTCTCCCAGAGTATCATTGATGCCACGTCAGTTTCCCACTTCAAAACCCTCCTGGACAAGGCATGGTACTCAGATCTTTACAAATAGCCACTAGTTAGCAATAATCAGTTCCCTACCCTAAATTCAGTTTTAATTTTAATAGATCAGATGGGAGAACATTACAGGGATAAAGCCTCTACCCCTCCTAAACTTGAAGATGATGATGATAAGTCATGTGATCAGATCAAACTATAATAGACCAATCATGTGGTCTAAACATTCAAATTCAAATTTCCCACTATAAACATTCCTAAGTGAAAGGTCAGGCTGATTTATGCAAATAGCTGTTGTGTTTTCGGGTTTCCCTCCCCAAGATTTTCTTTTTCTTATTTCAAATCTGCATGGTAAAATGGGAATTGCAAATTTTATTGAAGGGGGTGAAACCCGAAACCGAGTTAGTACTTAGTGTTATAGATGTCTCCCTAGCAATTGCTAGACCCCTCTGGGAGTTGATTGTGGGCCTCTATTTTGAAGAGCAAAAATGGCGAACTTTTCAAGAAAATAAACAATATTTCCTGTGTTTCAAGTGTTTTGGGGGCCCTAACGATAATATTACTGCAAATGTTCCAGGGTATGAGCAATATGGACACCTGGGCCTGATGTGAGTAAAACATTTCAGAAGGAAATGTACTGTTTCAATCGAGTAGGGCCAGAGATAGAATATTTTATTTTTCAGTGTACTAAAAAATGTCTTAGGGTCGGGGGTTCAAACTAGGGTCGGTCGGGGTTCCGGAAACGGACATATATTTTTGTTTGGCCTTATATACATGTATGTCTCGCAGTATTTTCAATATACAACAGGGGCAGTTCTGGAAATTTGGAGTTTGATGTGTTTGTTCCTGTATTTTAAAGCAATTCTACATTGAAATTGTTTTACAAAAAATTAGAAATTTAAAAAGTTACTATTATAATGTTTAAAATTTTCATGATTTATGTTTATGTTATTTTCTTCAGGGTTCTTGAAGAAAATGTGGGAATTATGATGCCCATTGTATATACACCTACTGTAGGTCTTGCCTGTCAGAAATATGGGCTCATCTTCAGGAAACCAAGGTACATTTTTGAATATTGATTCAAATAATCATTCAAAATATTGGCAACTAAATCAATGATCATGATATATCTGTGTTTCCCTATGTAAACCTTTATAAGGTTGGTTTTATCTTTAGAATTTTCAATCAGATAAAGGTACATTACAATCATATCAAAATGTGGAATTTCTTAATTTAACATCAATCATCTTGACATTATTCAAATATTTGGTCTTGTGGACTGTGTAAAGTTCCTAGAAAAATGGGAATAGAAACTTTAAGATAACAGTGAGATACGATTCTCTTTATTTGCTGTAATGACTTCCCTTTTCTAGGCAACTCTTAGAAATGTCACACAATTAAGAAAACATTTTAGTTAACGGTGCAACAATTAGTGCAATTAGTTCAATGATCATGGACCAGTGTCAAAATCAAAACTAACATATATTTTTTATCTCCAAAGAAATCCCCTGGATGAACATTATTTCAGCTGATATTCCTCTTGAAACATGGTGGATCTTAAAAAGGGACTCCCTTAATAGAAGCTTTGAACTGAATTTACACTTCTTTATGCTGGAATTGATAGTTTATCCATACATTTTAAGAAAATAGGTATGTCAAAGAAGTTGTAAAGCCAAATGTTGCCCTGATAGCTCAGAAAAAGTAAACATTTTCGAAATTTTTCTACAGACCTTGTTGCCCCTTTAAGCTTAAAGTACATAGGTTAAGATCAATAACCACAGTGGGGATATATCACCATGATAGCATTGCAAGTGAATATTATCAGCTATATGTGAATATAAAAAGAGGACTATTTTAAATGTTTAACTTGATAGGATAAAGAGATTTAGTTATCTAGGGGAAGACCATTGAATTGTCATGCGAGATTGTTTATAGCACCATGCACCTACAATTAACCCAATTGTTTTTTTCTTACGATATTTCGGCCCAACTTTTTTCTAAAAATTGACAGGTACCTCAAGGTCTAATGGTCAGCCCCTTATGATGTCATCCAAAATAGAACATTTAGAATTTGATGATGACCATATTATTTATTATATTTATTTATTTACTTTGACAGGTTTTACAATAACGCTGGTTATGATCTCCTTATGTTTGGTTTCACCTATAATCAATACTCCCCATGTACATGTACATGTAGTTTTGAATGAAATATCTAGTGTAAATATTGAATTATCAGCCTTTAATTTCAAAAGTAATTTGTGATTAAAGATACAACGATTATAGAAAAAATAATGATCATTTTGCTGAAACTCAAATGATACAGCTTTATCATTTTTACATGAATTATATTCTGGAGGATTGTACTTGTACAGATAAAAATGTACATAGCAATGTAATAAATAACTAAACTGTCTCTTTTAGGGGTCTCTTTATCAGCATACATGACAAAGGTTACATCTATGACATCCTATGTAACTGGCCAGAGCATGACATAAAGGTTAGAATTTGATTTATACAGGGTGAAACAAAAAATACAACCCATGCAAAACAGAAATTCCCAGTTATGGTACAATCATCTTGATTATTTCTGGGTAGAGTGTTCAGTTCATTTTTTTGTGTTGTGTCAAATTTATAAGTTATTGAATGATTTGAAGTACAGGATATATTCTGCTCGAGAAATTCTGTATTGGAACGAGACGAAGTCGAGTGCCAAAGATGAAGTCGAGTGCCAATACAGAATATCGAGACAGAATATATCCTGTATTGCACTTCAAATCATTCAATAACGTTTTTATTGTGTGATCCTCTGTACACTTGTATTGCTACTGAGATTGTACCAATATTTTCTGTATTGCGATGGAGATGATCAACAGGGACAACCTCAGTAGCAATACAGATTGGTACAGCACAAGAACTGACCAATCAGAGGGCTTCATTTTACAGATCATACGATATATTTATGTATCTTATTTCAAGGGAGTGCTTTATGTGTAGTTCATTTTGATTGCTAGTGATGTTAAGAAATACATTTGTTTTTTGGTGTTGAATGTAAATTGATGAAATGGTCAACATTATTGCATGGAAGGTCAAATTCAACTTTATAGATTGAAATACATCTCTGGATTAAAGTATACTTTTAAAACATTTCAATACAAATCCATTTGATTCTGATGAACACTAAAATAATTCTGAACAATGACACAATATTACAGAATATTATATGAATTGATGAATTAACTTTTATTTCAATGTGTATTCTTGCATCCTTATAGGCTATTGTTGTGACAGATGGAGAAAGGATTCTGGGATTAGGTGACCTGGGTTGCTATGGTATGGGCATCCCAGTGGGAAAACTAGCCCTGTATACTGCCCTAGCAGGTGTCAAACCGCATCAGTGTCTCCCAATTTTACTAGACGTGGGCACCAACAATGAGGTAAGTATTGACAATGAGACCAGCCTTCAAATAAGGGTGGTGTCTTACTTACAATGAGATAAGCATTTACATTGAGGTAGGTGAAAAGAATGAGGCTAGAACAAATAATGATGTTGGAATAAACAATGAGGCGAGCGCTAACTAAGGGGTAGGCACTAACAATGAGAGGCATTAACATTGAGTTTGATACTTAAAGTAGTAGTATAGTAACAATGACAGCAGGCGCTAAAGGCATGTGATGTTGGGATTAGCAGTGAGGTACAGTAGTTGTTGACAATGATGACAGTCACTAACAGTGAGTCTGGCATTTGCAATGAGGAAGGTAATAACAATGGTGGATGCACTAACAGGGAGGCTGGCACTAAAATTGAGGTAGTAAGAACAAATCCTAAACCATGTATACTGAATATTCAGATTTATTTTTGGAACTGTACATAATATGTATTGTAAAACCACTTTAATCATTTCCCAGTTAAAATTACACACTGTATACATATTTTAAATGTTTATCCATGTTCCTCTGTAAAGAAGCATTGTTAAACTTATGTTGCATATTATGTACATTTATCTCATGCAGACATTACTTAAAGATCCAATGTATCTGGGCCTCAAGCAAAAGAGAGTAACTGGACAAGCTTATGATGACTTCATTGAGGAGTTTATGCAGGCAATCATTAAAAGGTATAAATGATATGTTGTATACTAAATTCATTGATAACTGACTATATAGTTTTTTAAGAAGAGCTTATCTAAGAATCAATAAGGGAGTGGGAAAGGGAGTGGAATGAAAGATCAATCAAATTTTAGAAATTTTAGAACAATATCCGGTGCATGACTTCATTCAGAAATTTTCAAAAGTAATGAAAACACTATAAGTGGACTTGCTGTAGATATAATAGCTTTGCCCAAGTCGGTCTCTTTTACTTAATGTGATTTCTATTATGACCGGCGGTAATAATTCAAGATCAGATAAGTAAAAAAATACTGACTTGGGCAAGGCTATAGATATAAATCTGCATTATAAAACAAAAATGGCATTTGAAATGAACCAATTTTTATGTCACTACCACAAGTGGTGACATATTCTCTCCAACCTTTTTTGTGGATGGTGTTTGGTAGTCGGTGTCTGGCGTTTGGCATCAGTAACAAATGGCAAGTGGTGACATTTTGCATGTTAATGCCTTGTATTGAATTTATGTGCCTGTAGAGGGTTGAAAACTTTAAATATATGGCTTGGCATATGCTTGATATAATATCCGGGATGGAAAAGTCATTCTTTTCTAGCTGTTTCTGTTTGTGAAATTTAGTTAGATATACTATATTTGTTTCACTTCAGATATGGTCAGAATACACTAGTACAATTTGAGGACTTTGGAAATCATAATGCATTCCGATTTCTCGAGAAATACAGGAACCATTACTGTACATTCAATGATGATATACAAGGTACACTGACATATCAGAATATTATCCTAGGCACTGTAGCTGTGATATTATCATATTAGACTTCTATCCCAGGCACTATATCTGTGGTATTATCATATTAGACTGCTATCCTAGGCACTGTAGCTGTGATATTTATAGGATATCCTATGATTTTGAGGAATATCATTTTTATCTACGAGGTGATATTGATATCTGCACGAGAGAGCGAAGTGAACGAGTGCATATATCAATATCACCGAGTAGATTAAAATGATATTCTGAAAAAAATCATTGGATGTTCTTATTATCCTACACTAACAAGGAGTGTACTAAATGCATAATATCATTGCAAAATGAATTCCATGCCAAATAGAGTCAATTTGGCGGGAAATCAACAAGCGGAGTATATCGTTACAATATCCTCCGCATATTGGGGTTTCCGGAGTATATCGTCACGATATCCTCCACCTGGAGTATATCGTTACGATATCCTCCGGATATTCATTTTGCCAATAAATATCAAATTTATTTTTTAATGTTATTATACATTTAGTACACTAAGTGTAGGATAATAAAATGTTATCCTAGGTATGATAGCTGTATTATTTTCATGTTTGAATGTTATCCCTTGCACTGCAGCTATAGTATTATCATATTTTGATATTATTCTAGATAATGAAGCTGTAGATATATCATATTGAAATTTTAGGCACTGCAGCTGTAGCTGTGGCTGGTATACTTTCTGCGTTGAGGATCACTGGGAAAACACTACAAGAGAACAAATTTGTGTTCCAAGGAGCTGGCGAGGTAAAACTTTGTCATGTGCTCCATATTGAACTCAAGAAAGTATAATATTTACTAAAAGAAGAGATACAGGTTGTTTCTGGCCAAAAAGATGATATATATAAATCATGTTAAAATTATGAGGAACACTATAAGAGTTAAACAATGTTTACCTGCCATCTTTTTTCAAAAGGAAATATGTTAAGCTGGATCTACGTTTTGTTTTTATAGGAAGAAACACCCCCAGATTCTTAGATGACCTATCTCCATGTAAAGGTGAAGTTTTAGGATATTCCCCCTCTCTTTGTGTTTTAGGCATCCATTGGTATAGCTAAGCTTTTGATTCTTGCCATGAAGGAGGACGGTTGTACGGAAGAAGAGGCTGTTACAAAGATCTATATGGTGGACTCTAGGGGTCTCATCACTAAGGTAAAAAAGGGCAATTTATGTACATGTACATGATGTATGTCAGTATAGACCCCAAATATAGGCCAGAAACAAAATACACATCTGTATATAAACAACATTATCTCTTAGCTATAGCTTGGAAAAGGTTAATGTTTTCTGGCTTGTATTTGAAATTTCTAAATGGTGTAATGAAATACTGAAATAGTGATATCAAATAGAAAATACAAATAGAGAATATATAAGTTATAATTAATTATCCCAACGAACGAAGTTCGGTAGGGATATAGTGAAGCCCTCCGTCAGTCCGTCCGTCCGTCCGTCTGTCCGTCCGGAAGATAACTCAAATATTAGTCGACGGATTTTCTTCATATTTAGTGGAAAGATGTATATTGATGAATAGTTTTACGCAAAAAAATTTTTTCTCAAGATGGCCGCCGCTTTAAAAATGGCGGGACTTTTTCGCAAAAATCATAAATTTTTCATTTTAAACCAAAGTAATTAACATTATTGTTTGAAATTTTGGTAGTATATTCGCAACATCTATCTATTTCACATATATTCCGTGTTTTTCATCTTGACCCCCAGGGGCCGTGTATGGGGGGTCAGGAAAACAGAAATTTTCGCTAATTTTTAGATCTTTCTGAAGTATAGCTTTATTATACAAAGGCAATTAAGAGTAGATTGCAAATATTGTATCTTTTTTCTGATTCGAGCCTCGTAAAATTCAAAATGGCCGTCTAATGTACGATTTCGCAATAATTTTTCGATCCCTTCAAAGTATGGCTATATAATACTCAAATTGAAGGAATTTTGGAGTAGATCGCAATTATGGTAATATTTTTCAGATTTGTACCTCAGAAAATTCATAATGGATTTTTTCAAGATGGCCCCCGCTTTAAAAATGGCGGGACTTTTTCGCAAAAATCATAAATTTTTCATTCTAAACCAAAGTAATTAATATTATTATTTGAAATTTTGGTAGTATATTCGCAACATCTATCTATTCCACATATATTCAGTGTTTTTCATCCTGACCCCCAGGGGCTGTGTATGGGGGGTCAGGAAAACAGAAATTTTCACTAATTTTTAGATCTTTCTGAAGTATAGCTTTATTATACTCAAATTAAAGGCAATTAAGAGTAGATTGCAAATATTGTATCTTTTTTCTGATTCAAAATGGCCGTCTAATGTACGATTTCGCAATAATTTTTCGATCCCTTCAACGTATGGCTATATAATACTCAAATTGAAGGAATTTTGGAGTTGATCACAATTATGGTATTATTTTTCAGATTTGTACCTCAGAAAATTCAAAATGGCTGCTTTGCAGGAATTCGCAATTCTAAAATCTAAATTTTTCAATTTTAACCAAAGTAATGAGTATAATTGATTGGAATTCGGTAATTGATATTTTGTTCGTTGGGATTTGCTACTCCGCGGAGTTGCCATCATCTAGTTTTAGTAGTGGGGGGCTGAGATACATTTCAGAATGGTGTGGCTTAGTGAATCTTAAATTCCGAATTCTTTACGAAAAGACAAAATACCTAGTTTATGAACTTCTTTCAGTTTGAAATTGTTTTTGTGGGAATGACCACCTTAAAGCCAGCATCAGCTGTTTTCCACCAAGTTTTAAATGTAGGTCCACAGATGCAGTAGAAGTTAAAGTGTCACCATTCACCTTGTAAAATTATGTATTTATATTTCTAGGATAGACCAAGTGGAGGGGTCACTGGCGAGAAACTGCTATTTGCCAAAGACCATGAACATCTTGATAATCTAGAAACTATTATCAATAATGTTAAACCGACTGCAATTATTGGTATGTTCACATTGCTAATCTGCTTTTGGGATTTTCAAAAAGTCATATTATGTCTTGATTGATGTCAATGAGGTCAAGTTTAAAGAAATGTCAAGGTCAAAGATGTCTGAAAGGCCAAATAGATAAGTTAATGAAGAATATTGTAATTCCTGCCTCCCATAAAGTCTGTGCCGACCAGTGAGGTCAAGTTCATGATTATGGGTCAAGGTCACCTGAAATATTTCAGTATAATCATATTGTGCATATAAATCATAATGCTCCTGGAAAAATCAATTAGCAAGGTCAAAGGTAAATTTCACAGTGTGTCAATGTCAATAGACCAACAAAATATGGCAGTTTTAGCACAAGAACTTCCATGCCTAACTTGAAACTGCGCCTTCATTAGTCAGGTCAAAGTCACAAAATACAAACTTTAAAATTCAATGAAAATGATGTCCTATATCCCATTTGATGAGAAGTTGCCACTTTTTTAAATTTGCCTTATCTACTTTGCCCTGACTAAATTTTATTGTCCCTTTAAAATTACAGGTGCTGCGGCTATTGCTGGAGCATTCACTCCATCCATCCTCAAGGCAATGGCTTCCTTCAATGATCGGCCAATCATCTTTGCCCTGAGCAACCCTACCAGCAAGGCAGAATGCACTGCAGAGCAAGCATACTCTAATACTCAGGTTGGAAAGTGTATCAATATTCTTGAAACTTGTTTTTTACATAGCTGTCCATCAATTGTAACTGATAATGCAAGATACACACATGGGGCGGATTTGAAAAATAGAAACATTACGTTTGCTTTGTTTAAAATGTTATTGTATTCTAGGGAAGATGTGTCTTTGCAAGTGGAAGTCCTTTTGATCCTGTGACTCTTGGGGAGAAGACTTTCCATCCAGGCCAGGGGAACAATGCATATATATTCCCAGGGATTGCATTGGGTGTGATATGCTGTGGTGTAAGGCATATCTCAGAGGAAATATTCCTAAAGTCTGCAAAGGTACATACTCTCTGAGCCTGGTAGATTTCATTTTGGCTTTCTTCATTTTTTGAATGAAATTGCATTTTCTATATCTTCATTTATTTAGTACATGTATGTTTAATTTGAATTAACTTTTGTGTTCTCTACTACAGGGTCAATCTGAAAGTTGACAAAGAAACTGGCCCAAAAATTTGCTGTAAAAGAAGATTTTGCATGTTTAAACCTTTCATAGGCCCTTTTTGAAAATATTTATAGGCCCTTTATAGAAGTGATGCCCATTTTTCCAAAGAAGACTTAAGAATTATGCCTATTTACACAAATATGAGGCTCATTTCTTGTCTGAAAGCCTTCCTCTCTTTGATAAACCAGTGCAATGTACAATGTACACATATTTCCAAGATGATGATTCTTTTCAGGCATTGGCAAGTATGGTTCTCCAGTCTGACCTTGACAAAGGAAGAGTGTATCCCTCTCTCTCCAAGATACGAGAAGTGTCAACAAACATTGCTATAGAGATAGCCCACTATGCTTACAAATACAGAATGGCTGCTCACTACCCTGAACCACAAAATAAGGATGAGTTTATTCATGGACAACAGTACTGTACACAATATGAGAGCTTTGTACCTCAGGTTTATGACTGGCCTAATGATGTAGCCAATCCTTTGACTGAATAAATATGATTCCAACTTTTGACTTATATTCCAGGGATTGGATCAAAATATCAAGTTTTTTTATCTAACTAAAGCTAGGGGTGGTCTCAACAGTTGTGGAAAAAGTAAATTTCTTTGGAGAGGACTGGGGAGGTTCTGTAAATGACAGTTTCATTGGTGAAGAATGTAGATTTTTAAAAATGTGATAGGCAAATAAGCACTTTCAGATTTTGTTTTATAAAGGGTGAAAGGGAACAATGATGAAGTTACCTGCAATGGCACACACGGTAAAGAACTATTAACTCTTTACCTGTTTACTAGTTAATCATCAGCAGTTACAGTAAATCGTTTTTAGAGTATTTGGAGTTAGGACAGTGATATTTTTCTTGGAAATCCATGGTAAAATTGGATTTTCATACAAAATAAAACATTGGCACTAATGAATAAAAAATATATTCATTCATACACACAAGAAATCACTACTTATTGAGAGATATTGTTTCTAAAGTTATTTTTAATATCTTATTATGTTATCATTATATTATATTATATTAGAGTTGTAACTCTAACACATATTCACAGGCTGGTATCGAAAGATTTGTCCGCTGTGACGGAGCATGCTATTTTTCATAAAAACACTAAGAATGCTTCACGATTTATTTTTTAACTCATATGTTTCGTTATATCAAAGATAATTACTTACTCCATGCAATGGATATATCATTTGCGTGTAACCTTCACTTCTGTTTGAAGTCCAATAACGTTAGGAGTAAAATCTATTGAAAACGGCGCCAGAGTATCAAACTCTAAAATGTACCATTTCTTTTTTAACTTTTTAATGGCATGATATAGTGACACGATAATATTAACATATGTTTTCAGCATAACTCTGAATGTATTAATGATATATTAATGCATTGGGTCTTTTTAATTTTTTTTATAAAAAATAATATTAATATATTTTGTCCGCTGTGACGGAGCATTTTCACAGTTCACATTTGCAACTGCTCCGTCACAGCGGACAAAAAAATTAAACATTATTTTTTATAAAAGAATTAAAAAGACCAAATACATCAACATCTCATTTATACCTTCATAGTTATGCTGAAACCATGTGTAAATATTATCGTGTCACTATATCGTGCCATTAGAAAGTTAAACAAGAAATGGTACATTTTGAAGTATGATACTCCAACGCCATTTTCAATAGCTTTTCTTCCCAGCGTAATTGGACTTCAAACAGAAGTGAAAGTTACCCGCAAATGATATATCCATTGCATGGAGTAAGTAATTTTGTATGGTATAACGAAAGATATGAGTTAAAAAATAAATCGTGAAGTATTCTTAGTGTTTTTATGAAAAATAGCATGCTCCGTCACAGCGGACAAATATTTCGATACCAGCCTGTGATATTAAAACATAAATAATTATCCCAACGAACGAAGTTCGGTAGAGATATAGTGAAGCCTTCCGTCCGTCAGTCTGTCAGTCAGTCCGTCCGTCTGTCTCCGTGTTTTTCATCCTGACCCCCAGGGGCCGGAAAACAGAAATTTTCGCTAATTTTTAGATCTTTCTGAAGTATAGCTTTATTATACTCAAATGAAAGGCAATTAAGAGTAGATTGCAAATATTGTATCTTTTTTCTGATTCGAGCCTCGTAAAATTCAAAATGGCCGTCTTATCTACGATTTGGCAATAATTTTTCGATCCCTTCAAAGTATGGCTATATTATACTCAAATTGAAGGAATTTTGGAGTAGATCACAATTATGGTATTATTTTTCAGATTTGTACCTCAGAAAATTCAAAATGGCTGCTTTGCAGGAATTCACAATTCTGAAATCTAATTTTTTCAATTTTAACCAAAGTAATGAGTATAATTGATTGAAATTCGGTAATTGATATTTTGTTCGTTGGGATTTGCTACTCCGCGGAGTTCCCGTTATCTAGTTATTATATTTTATCCCATACATGTATTTATACTACTGTATTTCATATTTGTTATATATAATTTACTTTGTATTATATTATGTAAGGACTATATCATAGTCTTACCAATCTTACAATAATTTTATGCATTATACAGGGTGATCAATTAAGTTAGTGACAATGATGATATTGGTGCTTAACATTGGTGTATAGATAAAACACAAACATAATGTTAAGCTTGGAAAACTAAACATATTTCTTGTGTTTTTGTTATGTTGATTTAATAACTACATGTACTATTAAATATAAATAAATATGAATATAAATGATATAAACGTTAATATTTTATACAATGCTAAATAAATATGTATCTATTCAAAACGTAGTATAGATGGATTGCAGTCAAAAGTATGTAACTATGAGTCTTTAAACATCCTGCATCACATTCTGTCCAATCAGTATGCCCATTCTATATTTTTCCCAAGATGCATGGTTGATGAAAAAAATGTAATAAGGGAAGTATTAGGCCCAATGGGGAAATCAAAAATGAGTGTTTTCAAAAATGAGCAGGTCCAAAATAATTTCCAAGCAAGTGTTTGTTTGAATGAATTTGGTAATGAATTTGGTGCAATTGCCAGCCCTGTCGCTCCTCTGATGAACTGAACACCGAAATATATCTGTTCGTAAATGTGATGTAGAGAGGATGGATGTATTGTTCGTTTTTATTGTGTAACATGGATCCCGTTCAAACTTCACAAGTGGTCAATGTGGGCCAGTTTCTAACAGAATTTAACGAAGTAATAACCGAAGATGACCTGAAACACAAGGCGGAATCCGAAGAGAGTATATATATATCAAAAGAAATGAATTTATCAGAGGAAATGAGGGCAGAACTGCAATCTGTGTGTGGGTATGTATTTTATTCACATATTATCGCCCACTAAAAACAGATTTGTATCATATCGTTTTTAGTGGGTTTTATTACCCCGGCAGGTCCAGGGGATTCCTCCAGATTTGCCTTCTTCCAAGGCCACTACATCGTGGTCTTCGTTCAAAGATAAATCCCTGCATCTTTTTAACTGTGCCAGATGTGAGTCATGTTTGTTTGTTTGTATCCTTCTATGTGCTATAATGCAGCTAAATGGTCTCGTGTTACCTTCTTCTAAGGCCACTGTATCGTGGCCTTCCAGTAAAGATATATTCCTGCATGAACAACTGGTTATGTCGTAATCATAAAATTTAAAATCATATGTCCGCCATTTTTCCACATCACAATTTGAATTGCGAGTTTTGGTCTTATTACCTCACCAAAAATTATCAAAACACACTTAAAGTGATCAGTGTTTTAGTTCACATCTTCTGGATCGCTAACTTAGAATTTACAGCCAGTAACTTATGTCAGACATTAACGACATTTCGTCCATTTTTCGAACATAGCCATTTTTCTTGGAGCCATTTTGTTTTAATTTTAGACGAAATCATGTCATATCTCATCAAGGAGCCGAGCGGGTTCCGTTTTAATTAAAGATTTATTTATCTGGTGATTTTTAAAATATTTAATAAATTTATGACACGGCGGCCAGCTTTTTTCAAATGGAGTTCACAGAATTCCAGATGAAATCCCCTCTAGCCAAGTATTGGCTAGAGACTCGAGTAAGTCCCGTGGTGCTTGTTTTTCACCTGTGCTTACACTTGTGCTTATATTTTATTTTCATCAACTCATTACCTCTGACAACAGAGCAGTATATTGGGCACATTTTCTGAAAAATTCAAAGGATTCTGTTCAGTGACCTTTCCTAAGCGCCTACTTTTAGCTATTTTTCAGTCACATTTTCAGTGGCTGAAAAAGTTATTTCATCATGTTTTAGGTCATTTTGACCATACACATTGTGATCCTGGCCATGTAACTGATATGTGCAACTAATTAAACTGACCGGAGGTCAAAACAGAACTCTGTTGTCTTGGTTAAAAAAATGTTTGAAATTCAGCATGGTTTTGTCACTTCCTGTTTTGTAATTTCCTGTTAAGTACCACAGCACCTTAACAACATTTTGTCCAGTTTTCGAATATCTCCATTTTTCTTGGAGCCGTTTGTTTTAATTTTAGACGAAATCATGCAATCATACCTCATCAAGGAGCCCAGCCAGTTCCATTTCAATTCATGAAATATTAACATGACGGTTTTTAGAATATTACTTAGATTTATTGAGCCCCGACTAGAAATTTTACAATAGTTCACAGTGTCTTAGATGGAATTACTTCGAGCCAAGAATTGGCTAGAGACTCGAGTCACTCCAGATAGTTCCACTTCCAGTAGGGTCAAAGACACCTACAAAGAAAAATAGCCCAGATTCAGCCTCCAAACCAAGTCAATTTAATTTTTATGTAAAGTCAAGTTTACACTGAAGGCTTAAGTACAGTCACAGTGTACAGGTAGGCCTATCTTATCTCTTTCAAAGACTGGACTGAAGCTAAAATACTGAATTCAGCTGCTTACTAAAATATTTCCAAATGTTCCCTAGTTCATCTTCAATCTTCATTCTCCATCCTCCGTTTGTGGAAGTTAAAATGTACATGTAAGTTATCAGCTGCTTCTGCGCCGATCAGGACTTCTTTTATCCTTGAATGGATATTGTTGAGCAAGAAATCAAAATGGCAGTGAGTTTTCAGGTAAATTCACAAAATGAGATTCAGTCTGAATTTATTCAGGTGAAGGATATACTGTAGTCTAAAGTAGGGCTCGTAGTATTCAAATTCAAATTTTTGTCAGAGCTAAGATATACATGTATACCCTTTTATTATATCGTTGCTAGAAATTGTGTGATTTGATTGGCTGATTCAGTGCCATGTGATAAAAAAAAACCATAGCGTATTTCACAGCTCCCTAAATTTTTGGATTATAAAAGACGTATTGCCTGACGTATTGCCCTTCCGGGAATTCTGACAACTGCACTGGAGGAAAATAAAAATGTACAATACAATGATATACTTGCACGTTATTATGTAAATAACCTTTGGGTTTATGATATTATTGATTAAAATAAATGTCTATAGGTTAATAATATTTTGTATTTCATTGAAATGCAAAGTTATCGTAGAGAATGTCTAGCAATGATATAATAAAACAAATATTTCATTCTATGTTCGGGCAATAACTGTTGCACTTTCAATGATTTTTGCAGCATGTATTTCCCTCGCCCTACGGGGTGCGGGCAATACATACTGCAAAAATCATTGAAAGATGAAGAGGTATTGCCCTACATAGAATGAAATATTTGCTTAATCTACCTTGGTATTTCTAAGACCAATAAATTCTTTTATATTTAGATTGTCTACTCTGGAGTGTGAGGCAGAAAAGGCATACAAAGCAACCAATGAAGTTGACATTATGTTGTCATCAGTGCCAAAAGATACATGTTTACAAACACTCAAGTAAGTTTACTTCATCTGACAAATGACGATGTTCATTATAACTGTGCACCTGAACATGTTATTTTTTAAAAACAGGCTTGCACCCACCTAAATCCATCTGCACCCACTTGAAAATGAAAATAATCATGAAAAATGATCACATTTTGATCAATTTCAGTATGAATTGTGAAAATAAGAATTTTGCACCCACTTGAGAAAAAATCCTTGGGAGATCACTGCACTTCTTATTGTCCCATTGCCTGTACTCACTGGGGTGATTGTACTAAAGAAAGAAAATGTTAACCATAGAAATGTAACCAATATGTTTATTACCAATATGCATTTATCCCCAAAAACTGGCTATTTTATTATTAGCTATAGTAACATACACCTTAATGAGTTGGATCTTTTCCTGTACTTTCAGGTTCCAAGCTCAAGAATTACAAAAGAGGACTTCTCCATCTTACTATACAAGTTCTGTCGGTGCCATGAAGTACAAGAAATTGGATGTCAATTTGGTAAGCTGAATCAGGGGTTATACTATGAATACCTAGCTGATGTGTATACAGCATTCTTTTATATTTGTTCTTTATTTGGGGCCAACATCTTAAGCATTAAGGTCAGTGTGCATGTTCGGAATTTTGCTGCAACCCTCAATAGGGTCACATGTTATTTTTCAATTCTGAGTCACTCCTTCCCCACAATGTCTACATCTCTCTCTTTTGCACAACGAGTGCACTAATGTACCAAGAAAAGAATGTAAAGAAGAATATTTTGATAAAATGTATAAAAAACAAGAAAATTCAGTGAAAATATTCAGAAATTCTTTTCACTGAATTTTCTCGTTTTTTATACATTTTAGAAAGCAAATCTTCTCACCAGTCTTTACTAGGGACATAAGTGCACTCTTTGTGCAAAACTGGAAAATGTAGACAATTTGGGGAAGGGGTGATTCCTGTTTGAAAAATAACATAATTATGACTCAATTGAGGAATGCAGCAAAATTCTGAACATGCACCCTGGCCTTAAAGTGAAGTGCTTGACAGTATGTAATACAACAGATTGCCTGATGGTTGTAGCAAAGGACCTAAATATATGTTCTTTGTGACTTGTCAACAAAAACAAAGTTTTTTTTATCTTGAACGTTTCATGAGGCAGTGCTTTAGTATTTCTTCACTATTGTATATTTTATGTGCTGAAATATTTGCACCTCGAATTAGACAAGATTTAGGATGTTAATTGCATATTGTTGCATGTTTACAAGGAAATCAAAATAGCTCAATTAGCTGATGACACAACTTTGTTCCTAGGCAATAATAGATCAGTTGAGAATGTTTTAAATATTTTTAAATATTTTGAAAAGTTATCTGGCCTTGCAGCAAATAAACAAAAGACTGAGGGCATGTTCAAAGGAAAACACCCAGAAAACAGAAATAATAAGTTTGCTGATATACAATGGAAAAGAGAGCCAATTAAAGCTCTTGGTGTTTATTTTTGTTCTGACATTGTAAAAGTGAATTTAAAGTCATGGGAAAGTTGAGTTCCATTTTAAAAACCAACTTACAAAATGAAAACCATACAAGACATTTTATGCCAAAATTAACTGATTTTCAGACATTATCTGATCGGATGCCCCCAGTGAGTGATAATCCAGAATTTGTGAAGACTCCTGAAGCCCTCCTTCGTGTAAGAGTCTACCAGCCATATTTCCCTTCATCATCTAGGGTATGTTATATTTTAGTATATGTAGTTAGGAATGGACTTGTTCACTGTGTGTTTGAATGCTCAAATGTGTATGCCTGTGTTTTGTTCCAGTTAACACCCAGCATGATAATATAGAATTAGAACTCTGAAATAGAATGTCTGAGAGCTAGCCTAGCAATATTGAGTAAATGATCTGCTTCCTCACTGGACAAAAAGCTGGTTCAAATAAAAATGTATAGGTGTGTTTCAAAGTGAGATATTCCTGTCAGTAATGCTTTGACTACAACATTTTGAGTGGCCTGAAAAGCATTTGTCCAAAGTGCTTTAAAGTGTGTCGTCAAAGTGACTCTCACAGACAACAAACATAGCTCTGCATTCAAATTACTTTAAATTGGTATATTTTTTCTGTTAGAGTCTGTCTATCCCAACCCCCACCCTGCCACATATCATATTGTCAGGTCTCACCCTGTCACATCCAATCCTGTCATATCTCACCCTGCCATGTCTCATCCTGTCATGACTCACCCGACCTCATCTCACCCTGCCATATCTCATCCTGCCAAATTCCTGTCATATCTCACCCTGTCACATCTCATCTTGTCATGGCTCAACCTGCCATATTTCTCCTATCATATCTCACATTGCCACATCTCACCCTGCCACATGTTACCCTGTCACATCTCATCCTGTCATATCTCACCTTGCCACATCTAATCCCGCCATATCTCACCTTGCCATATCTCACCCCGCCATATTTCACCCTGTCACATCTCATCCTGTCATATCTCACCTTGCCACATCTAATCCCGCTATATCTAACCTTGCCACATCTCACCCCGCCATATCTCACCCTGTCACATCTCATCCTGTCATATCTCACCTTGCCACATCTAATCCCGCTATATCTAACCTTGCCACATCTCACCCCGCCATATCTCACCCTGTCACATCTCATCCTGTCATATCTCACCTTGCCAGATCTAATCCATCTCACCTTGTCACATCACATTACATCAGTGACAGTTGTCTCATATTACAGTTGGCTCTAGAACATGAGTACTGGGTACTGGGCCACCAATGTCTGACTGAATTGAGGGACAAGATCAGATGTGTGGCTGACCTCACAATTGAAAAGTTGGAGGAGGGTGACTTTAGTGATAACATTGATGTGTCAAAAGAAGGTGAACCTACTGCTCAGGTAAGCTGTGTTCTCAGGAATAAGCATGAATTGGATATTTTTCAGATTTATTTCTGCATTTTCATGGTGTTAACACATGTAAAAAAAGAATTGATGCATATTGTCTAAAGATAAATGTGATTGAATATTTGAGATATTTGGTTGAATTCCTTTTGACAAAATTTTGAACCAATCAGCAACTTTTACTGCCAAAAGTAGGCTACCTAAATATTTATTTTGCCATTCAATAAATGATTTAACATCTCGGCAGGGAGGACCCAAAGTATGACAGTTGGTATATTCATGTAATATCGTATACACTAAACATTATTCAAAAACTTTGTTCATCCTTTTCTTTTAGGAAGTATTCCCATCAGGGTTCTTCTACATTGAAGGTGTATTTTATAATGATATGCGGAAAGACGATGCCAAAGATTATAGCAAGTAAGAAATCTGCCTGTAAATGTAATATGGTTTGTGTAATTTAGTGGACAAATATGTACAATACATATTTCATGAATTGGAATTTAAAAACTCCCCATCTTTAAATTTATATACCGGTATGTGTTTTAAAAGAAAATGTCATCTAACATTTTTTGGGTGTTTTTAAATATCTATAAGATGCTGTTCTAATTAATTTGAGGCCGGATTCTGATGCAAAAGTGAACATTGAGATCATGAATTAAAACTTTAAATTGGGAGAACCTGAATGTGGGGATGTTGTCTAATCTAAAAATTCTGAAAGTAAAAAAGGCAGTGTCTATAGATAATTGTGATCCTAACAAAGCAAAATTTTTTATTTTTTATTTTTTTTCATGTATGACAGTCTTTTACTATTCATCATTTAGTATATGACAAACTACTTGTGGCTTTTCACTTTTAGAATGTACATGTAGTTCACTTTTGACAATGTTTTCTAAGGTCTGAAAAGGGCTTGTGTTGAAGTCTATTGTAATTTTGCAATAAAAAAAATTTCGGGTTAATCAGGGTGAGAATTACATGAAAACATGCTGTAATACATGTAGCCCTTTAAAAAATACAGGATGTGTCGTGTTATTGTAGAACTATAATGGACTGGGCTAAAGATCCAAGTCGAGGTATAGGACCATTTACATCCAAGAAAATGGAGGCTACAACATTTTATGACTTAGATCTAAAGATAGGTCAACCCTATGTGTACTGCCACCAGGGTGACTGTGAACACTTGATTGTCTTTAGTGATTTAAGGTATGTGTCCTGTTATATGAATGGTTACTGCTCGTCTCATATAAATATCTCTTACCAACGTTCAATAACATGTTAAAAAGTTGATGTGTCCTGTTTATATTAAAATATTGCCATTGTCACGGTTTAAAATGTAGAAATCAAAACTAGAATCATTCATCAGAGTCAGAGGTTTGGTAGTGTGGATATTAGACAGGTATCCAGGGTAACTGTGTTTACCTTTTTAGATGCTAAAATATAAATAAATTACAGAGATATTTTGATTTAAAGCACTTTATAGTCGTAATATTGTATGAAGTGCATAATATATTATTGACCTATCCAGAGATTGACTGTTAAAGTCCCCGTCTAAAGTTTGAAAATATTTTTTTATCATTCATTTACTATTTGTCATGACTTAAAAAGTTATTCTAGAGATTTTTGAAAGAAAATTTTTTTTTGAAAAAAAAGTTGTGAGCATTTCATTTCTCAAATATTCAAATTTCCCGCCATTTTTCAAAAAAATTTGAAATTTTTTAATCATCAAATATTTCTTAATGCATTTCGAAAAAGATTATCTTTTTAACACCAATGCAAAGATTGATCAAAGGACACACTATTTCAATAATAAAATGCCATATTTAATGGGCCACTTCAATGTTTTAGCATATCAAAAATATTTTGCACCATTAGTGATGTCACTAAGGTACCAAAAACTTTTTGAAAAAAATTCGACGTCAATCTTTTCTAATTATGCTAGACTTCAATAATATACCAATGTTGATTGTCTAACCAGGTTAAAAGGAAGAATATATTATGTTTTAGATATCATTGTACCATTGGTTTCTATGAGAACTAGAATTTTTAAATGCATTTTTCTCGGAACCATTTTCATGCACTGATAAGTTCATTTCTCGCTTATTTATGAACCGATTTTCTTAATTTTTTCGGCAAAAAACATGTGAGGATGAATGCTATGCATTGGTATGAGTTGTTGCTTTAAATAAATTCACAAATTTTGGAACAAAAAGTCTATCAAAAACCACTTTTTGAAATCTAAAAAAAAAGTTTCACATATCACACTTTGATAACATTGGGTAAGACTACAATATGAGCCAAAGTGGTTTAAACTTTAGATGGGGACTTTAAGAGACTGTTAATCATAGATTGCAAGTCAAGGATTACAATGGAGGGAGAATATAACTTTAATGATATTGTTTATAAAACAGATTGGTCCACCCCACTGACTGTCAGGATGTACGGATGTATCCTCTCACCATGACCTTTACAAGGAAATATCGTACACAATGCAGAGCCTGCACAACATCCACAGCAAAGTAAGTTTATCCTCTAGAAAGAGTAATGATTTCATTAAAAAATAGAGTGAAAAAGAGTGGAATTATCAAGGAATAAAGTCAATATTTATTTAGGAAGCACTCTTAATTGTACAAAGATCTCAAGAATTGAGGCAATTCTTTTCAAATTTTAGAGAAAAACCATGGAATGAACATGACAGTACATGTAGATACATTTGAAATGGATTATTGGGTTGTAAACCTTAAGTTCAGTCACATTACCTGTTTGGGCTCACTGTTTGTCATTGTGTGGCTAATTTTAGGCATTCATCTTTTAATTGAATTATTAATTAAGTTGTTGAATTTGGTGTGATGGGGGATATCTTGCTGAAAAACTATTTGTTTTCCCACTTTGTTCATCCATGCCCTGCCCTGCCATCTGCCTTTAAGTATGCACTTGGTGATAAACAGTGAGCCCACACACCTTAGTGTGACAGCTTCATAAAATATACATCATAAAGCATAACAATTCATGTTACTATTACCATTGGCATACATTAAAGAAGTTAAAAATGTGACCATTGGAATGATTTCTCACATGAACAAGGCAAGGATTTTCATGGGTAGATTCACCAATTAAAGGAGACAAGATTGATGCTATTAAAGTGCTATTATTCATGCATATATTCTTTTGATGTAATAATAATGCCTTTGTTTGTATTTCAGATGGGTTGTTAAGGAGAGTCCTCTAGCTCCAGATGATCCATGCTTTTTTTGTGACACTTGCTTCAGAGCATTACACTATGACAGAAACAATAAGAAAGTAGTACAATTTAAAGCTTATCCATTCTTTGATAAAGTTATGATCTGAAATCAGGAGATTAAGTGTCCCTGAGTGCCAAATGAGATTGAGGAACACAATCATATGATATGATCAAGAAGTGGATACAAGGCCTGTATCTTAGTATCTTGTACAATACAGAGCTTTGTCAGAGTATGATCATAAGTTCTCTAAGTGGAAAGGAGATCTCAGTTGCTAATCTCAGTGATCCACATATCTTGTACACTAGGCACACAGGGAAGGCCAGCAATATGATCTTAAAGAAACTCAGTGAAATACAAAGACAACACGGGTGTCTGAAATAAGTGCAAATCACCATGATACATATTTCTCAAAGAGCGAATGATCTTGTCCTTATGGGATATCATCAGTTGAACTGAGTACTGACAAAAAAGTAGGAGTCTTTTGAACTACACTTTGGAGACACGGTTGAAATAGAAGGAGTGATAAATGAGTAATGGTCTCATTGCAAAGATGCTTATTATAGACCAATAGACTTATTGATCACTCCTTGTATGTACACTGTCAGATCATTCCTTTTGGAAGGAGTGGAAAAAATGTAAAAATTACATTAAAAAAATAAATATTTTTGATACACATGAAAAAATAGATCAATTTTTTGTAGATTGTGCAATGTGTCTTATTTCAAACAAAAATGATTTACATTTATGTATTAAAGTATGAAATTGTAACATCATTAAAACTTTCTCTGTCAAAGTACTTGTAATTGAAACAACAGTTTTTGGATGTGAAAATGTGCTTATGAGTTGCGAGTGTCATATTGTTGATTCTACAATTTTTTTGCTGAATCCAGATTTATGTCGTTGAATCATCCTTAGTGTTTCCTAGCAACATTTAATCTGTTGACCATCTCGTAGGGGTAAGGTATGGGGTACTGTGATAAATCATCCAGCTCAGACATCTACAAATACAAAGTGATAACAAAGAGATGATACATACAGTTGTCTTATAAGCTGGGTTTGAACATACAACCTCTATCTTTGACGGTAACAGTAGAATAACTCTTACAATGAATTTGGTTTCCTTAAAATACACAACATTTTCTAATATCATGAAAAAATGTTATCTTGTACTACATGTCTTTTATTGACTGTGTTGTCATAACAATGTTAAAAAAACATACCATATCTCACTTGGAAACTATATTCATCATAACAGTTACCCAGTGTGCCTATGATGTATAGGTATAGTGCAAAAGCTAGTCTTGCTTCAAACCTGTGGACCTGGCTTTTTATCTAAACAACACAGTTGTTAAAGTAGATAGTCCAGGGTATTGGAGCAAGACTATGCAAAAGCTATATACCAGACAAAGCAGAATAGTCAATGTAGGGTTCAGTGATCCAGTGGTGCTAGTTAGCGTCCTCTCTTCTACGACTTTTATTGCGATTTTTCACGTCTATATATGGATACTGTACTCCTGGTTCAGTTAAGTCATTGCATTTGTTCATCTACAAGGATGACAAAGTAGGTTTCAGATATGTTGTGGTACATTGTGTAAAGTTATCTCCCTAGCATTAAAGCAAGTGGGCGCAGAACCCACCTGAGATTCTAAAAACAGGCTTGCTCCCACCTGAAGATCCATTTGCACCCACTTGAAAATGAGAAAAATAGGCATATTTTGACCAATTTCAATCTGAATTTTTATAATAAGAAATTTGCACCCACTTGGAAAAAATCCTGTGGAGAACACTGGTATACATAGCAATTTTCTTGTGTGTTCAAAGGAGTGCGGGGAAGGGGGGGGGGTAGAAAGAGTAAGCATGTTGAAGGATACAGGAGAGCAGATCATAGTGATAGTCTTATTGCTATCTTTCATTTGGTTTTGATATATTTGATATCACTTCAATTCTTGAAAGGCACTTTTTACTAAAGGGGTTGTCTGTGTAATTATAAAGTGAAGAAGAATACAGCCAAGGTTTACAAAAGGCAGAACATACAATACAGTAAGCTAGAGATGAAGACTAGGGGGAGAAAAGTATATTATTAAGGCCAGGGAATAAAGAACATGTGTAGGAGGAAAATAAATGAGAAAAACTGGAGAAATGCAATGTGAAGGGGGAGGGGTTACAATGCTGAAAAGTGATTGAGGAGCAACTTTTGTAATATATTATATTGGTACAAATAAATTGAGTAAATAAATAAAGGGGGGGGGGCAGTGAGAAAAACATTGTGTAGATTATATATTAGGCAGTGGTTCTATGAATACCTCAGAGTCTGTGAGTTTCCAGTCAGTACCAGCACCAAGGTTATCATCAAGTTGTTGTAGATTCTTGGCACCAATAATCACAGAGGTGACAGTAGGTTTTTGTAGCAACCACTTCAGTGATACTTGGGCAACAGACTTCTCTGGAATTTTACAGAGTACATGAGGGTATATATAGCTATGATGTCACTGATAAATGTTCTTTTTCATTCAACAAAATTTAAAAATTATATACAATGGAATACAATATCTCCTTTTGTTCTGCCTTTTAAAATTTGCCTATGGATTGTGCGTCTATGGATTGACTCATGTGTTGACGCCCATAGAATCATCCACTTGTCTGTTTGTCCTTCTGTCTGTTTGTTAACAGTTTTTAAACAAAGGAAACTTGGTTATTGTCTGAGCTCAAGCTAATATTTATTTCATGGGGGTCCATATATATAAGTCTGTATCACAGGGGCGTAGCCAGCTTTCAGTCAGGGGGGTGCGATCACCCAAAAAATTCGGGTTTCAGTCAGGGGGAATGCCATTGTGGCAATAAACATGCCAAATATAAGATTTATTTTGAATTTTACAAAAATTGATGCAACTTCCTTCAAAATTGAGCTAGAAGTATAGCCTTTCCAAGTTAGACAACATACTAGTATGTTGCAATTGATGTTGAGAATTCGAAGTATTAATGTCAGTTTCAGCATTCCAGGTTTAGCAAAAATTGGACTTTTTAGCCATTTTGCTACTCAAAGAATGATCTAATGTGATTGGTCAGTTGTCCTATTGTATTATGTTGGTTGTATGTGATCTACTTTTGCAACTTGATTGCAACTTATTTTTGAAAATAAGGAAAAGAAATTGCCGTTTGAGGCATTTTTACATCACTAGTAGTTGCAAATTCCTCACCATGTGCTTTCCCAATGGACTCCACTTTATCGATAAGATTCCAGACTTTTTCATTGTCTTGGTACTGTTGAAAGCTGGGATGACTTTGGGCACGTCTAGAAGACTCTTTCTCAGAGACCCAACCAACTCTTGTGTCACCACTTGCTGCAGTGTCTCTTTTAAACTTGCCAGAGAGCCAACCACTTGAAACATGTTGTAGAAAAGATCAACATTGGTTTGCAAGATGACCTTATTGTATTCTGTTTTATTTAGTTTATATTCAACCAGGACTTATATCTTCAGAAAGGCAACAACGAGAGCCAGAATTTCTGGTACATCAGTTTGAGTATTGAAGTGTCATTCATTTTTTATTTATGAGTTTACTTTTTGTTAAAAGCACATAGCTGTAAAATAACATTGACATTTTAAAATGAATGGGTTCCATTTAATAATCATTTTAACTCTTGATTATTGATCAATTAATGTTCATGTTATTTTCCTATAATTTATGGAACATTTTCCTGCTTCTTTTTAGATTCTTCATTTGATTTAAACTAGAACATTAGCTATTAACTAAAAGGGGACTCAGGCTTTGAACATGCTGCCAAATAAAACAGTTGGATAATGAAAATCATTTCATAAATGCAGCGTACCCTTTTAGTGGACTCCATGGCAACATTCCAAGTCCTTCATTCTTGCACACTTCAACTACTTCTAGCTCTGTCTCTCTACATAATAGGTTATACTGGTTCTACAAGATATAATACATGTTGTACTTGCAAAAAGATATATAATGGTTGTGTAATGGTTGGTCTCCAGGGAATATAATTAAAGGATGGTGATTGGTGCGATAAATGAGCTACTGTGCTAAATTAATGGCAAAATATTTTGACAGTTTGTTGGCTTCAATACTATTGTACCTGGTAGTTACTCACAATCAGTGATTTATTTGGCACCTGGTATTTTGTGAATTTGGTGAATTTTTATGTATGCATATATGAGACAATTTAGAAAATTGTGTATATTGTGGATTGGCTGAGAAAAACACAACAAAACCAATATGTCAAAGGTTGGAGAACAACAAAGAACAATTGTAAATGCTGACCTGGAGGCTATTACTGAAGTCAATATTGTCTAAACAATTCTAGTATTTGTGAAAGTGGTTAATAGAAATCATAACTTAGAGCTGCCAAATTAATGTCAAAAGTATAAAAGTATTAAATAGTGTCAAAGAAACCCAACTGACAGTAAACATTAAAACCATAATCCAACTACTAACAATTTAGGAACAAAATTTTCCAGAATTATTTCAATCTACCATGTCGTTCAATAAAAGTGCTCCGCCTACCCAAAGGTAAAGTTACCATAGTAACCCTTATGTTTGACCAATCAAATTAGAGATGCTGATATTTTAAGAATCAATCAGAAAGTATTTCTTATACATTGTGAGAACATTTCATGAGAAAATATCAAAAATCTTTGAAATGAGAGCATTTTTCCATGAACTTATTGAACGACCTGGTAATCTTTGATCTTGATACATCCTCTATAGCCCGCAGTAAAAACCAGTATCTTAAAAGTATTGAAAATGATAAACAAAACAGGCTTTAAGGGACTATCCTATGACCTGTGTGAATCAATAGATCAATGGATGTCAGTTTGGAGGGACATTTGCCTCTTGTCTGGCTCTATCCCTTTTAGCCAAAAAACAGACTTTTATTGACAGTGACATTGGATTTCAAATTCATAAACATCTTATGAATAAATGGTCTTAAACTTGATGACTTAAGGGGTGTCTACATGTTGGGAATGTAGGGCTGGTATCTAAGTTCAGAATAATAACTAGGGAACAAAATTTGTTAAAGTGGCCAATAGAAATCATCTTCTGATTCTTGAAAAAAGACACTGATCTGATGACTATAAGGGTGTTCACATGTTGAGTATGTAGGACTAGTGTCAGTACAGAATAATAACTTGGGGTCAAAATTGCAAAATAGCAAAGTAATTAACAAAGGCCAACTAACAAAGTTCAATTAGTTCAACATTTACTTTCAGTTTCAGTAAGGCATGAGATGCTACAGTAAATTTTGAGAGTATGCCATAGCGTTTTATGCATATGTATGCAGTAACGCCATGCATTTGATATACTTACCTGCACAGTGACGCAAGCCTCCCATCCCATTCTATCCTGAAGGTCAAGTATTTTCTGAAGCTGCCACCCTGTCACATTACTAACTCCAACATAGCGGATTTTGCCACTTTTCACAAGGTCATTCAGTGCAGAGAATGTTTCCTTGATAGGTGTCCCTTCATCCCAAGCATGGATCTGCGTTGAGTAATATTTATAGACAAATCATTAACATGCACAATGTCACCACCTGCCATTTATTACAACCACCGAACTCTGAATGCCAAATGGCAACCGCTGGACATAGTCACACAAAAAAGTTGGAGATAAAACATATGTCACTACTTGGGGTGGTGACATAAAAAGGGACAAGGTCACTCTATCGATGTAAACTGGTTAAAGTGGCACCAGAGACTAAGATTGTTAATTCCCATATTTCCTTACAATCCAAATTTTATTTTCTTCAAGAAAAGTTAAAATATTTGGTCAAATATGGAAGTACATGTACACAGCAAAACTTGATTATTTAAGTGAAACACCTTTGATACTTCAGTAGTGTTCTACAGTGTGGGTGAGCATGCCCGTAGCCAGCTTTTTGTAAGGGGGGGGGGCTCGAACCCCCCCCCAACCCCCCCTAAAAATTCCCCATGCTAAACCATAACATTGAAAAAATAAGGCCCAAAAAGGTCAAGTAATGCCCAAAAAGGCCCACTAAAAAGTTGGGCCAACATTTTTTTCTGGGCCCATCCTATGGCCGCGCAGAAAACCTTTTAAGGCCCTAGAACCAAATTTTTGAAAATTTATGGTCCGTTTTTTGAAAATTTGGCTTAAAATTGAACAAAATAAGGCCCAAAAAGGTCAAGTAAAAAGGTCAAGTAAAGGCCAACTAAAGAAGCCCTACAATTTTTTTGGCCCGACATTTTTTTCTAGGCCCATCCTAGGTCCGCGCGTAAAATGTTTAGGGCCCTAAAACCAAAATCCGGTCAAAAATTCTGAAAATTTTGGCCCATTTTTTGAAAATTTGGCTTTAAATTGAAAGAATTAAAGCCCAAAAAGGTCAACTAATGCCCAAAGAGGCCCACTAAAGAGGCCCTACAATGTTTTTGGGCCAACATATTTTTCTAGGCCCATCCTATGGCTGCGCGGGAAACCTTTTAGGGCCCTAGAACCAAAATTTGGGCCTAAATTTTGAAGATTTATGGCCCATTTTTTGAAAATTTAGCCTAATATTGAAAAAATCAGGCCCAAGATGGTCAAGTTAAGGCCAACTGAAGAGAGCCTACAATATTTTTGGCCCGACCTTTTTTTCTGGGCCCATTCTAGAGCCGCGCGTAAAATTTTTAAGATTTATAGCCCATTTTTGAAAATTTGGCCTGAAATTGAAAAAATAAGGCCCAAAAAGGTGAAGTGATGCCCGAACAGGCCCATTAAAGAGGCCCTACAATATTTTTGGGCCAACAAAAAAGGGAAAAAAATGACAAATTTTGAAAAATAATGCCCTTTGAAAAACAATGCACAGTAATGCCAGTTTTTTAATCTTAATTGCCCAGTGAATGTGGGGAAGAGCAAGTTTTTCTTCAAGGAAGCAAAAAGGTAGGTCCACATTTTTTTAGGAGATATCAGGGGGGGGGGGCTCGGACGAGCCCCCAGAGCCCCCCCTGGCTACGGGCCTGGTGAGGGTGTGTTACCCTCAGCTAGTCAATTAATTAATTATATTTGGTGGAGGGGGTAAAAGTTCATGTGTCTTTTCAGGAAAAAAACTTTCGATTTGCAAAGTTGATAAATGTTCAATTATGCTTGTGATGAACTGACAGGGTCTGAAATGTAACTTGTGAAAAGTTAAATGGTTTCCCTTGTATGGTAAGCAAGAGTGTAATAAATTTTAAGAAAGAACCTACCTGATAAAGATCAATGTAATCAGTCTGCAATCTCCTTAAGCTCTCCTCCACACTCCAGATGATGTGTTTCCTACTGAGACCTTCGCAGTTAGGGTCACTTGAGTCCATGGAGACCCGCACCTTGGTTGCTATGATCAGTTTATCACGATCTTCCCTAATGAAAAATTGTCACAATTTTACCATAGTTTTTCACAACATTTTATGGATGCCTACATTTTCTTATAAAATTTCCAAAATATATATGGGTATGTTTTGATAATCCTCTGATTCTAAGGTTACCTGGAGTCTGATTATCAATAAATTGGACACCCCCTTTTTAATGATTATGAATTTGGACATTTATCTTTGATTCAGTTAAATAATAACTTATATTTGATCAAGATTTAAGGGAAATATTCTGATATTGGCATGCTTTTGAAAGTACTGCTCCCATCAATTTATGCTCTTTTCTTTGCTGCCACTTTAAACAATAACAATGAAGATTACATTTATTCACCTTTTCTTTAACCAAGTGCCAATCATTGTCTCGGACTGTCCCTCTTGGTACATATTAGCTGTATCTATGAAATTGCCACCCCAGGCCACATAGCGATCTAATATTTGATGTGCCAAGGCTTCATCACATTGACCTGGCCTACCCCCTCCCTACAAAGAAAATATTTGGGTTATATTAGAAATGGTGTGCAATATCAAGTGGTGGAAAATGAAGATGCTTTTAATATGGATTAACTACCTGTGTGCCCTGTTCACCTGTAATGAAACATTTAAATGTTGAGTTACATGTAGTTTTAGGGGAGGCATCAAAAGATCAATGTCTGATAGAAAACTAAATAAATCTAGTTTGGGGGGAGGGGGTCAACGCTATTTCAGTTTGCTATCCGACAAATTTCAACATTTAAATTTTTCGCAATTTCGACTCGAAATGCCTTGGAATGGTTTAAAAATAAAGACTACCAGATGCCTTCTTCACCAAGATGCATGCAACATGGAATATTATGCCTATTGTTGTTGGCACATGTTTTAAGAATCATAAATAAGTTATTGTAGTACTGGCCCCATGAAAGTCCAAATTGAGTCGCTAAAACATGTGAAAAGTCCGCGATCAACTTTCATTGTATTTAGTTTTGAGGGGGAGGGGGGGGGGTCCAACTCAAAACTAGATTTATTTAGTTTCCTATCAGACATTGAACTTTTTATGCCACCCCTTACCTACATCGTCATTTGCAATACAAAATCAATTTTCCAATAATGAAATCTTTATTTGCCCCATCCTCCTTTCGGATGACTTTCAAACCATAAGGATCAATCCGGGGGAAGGGGGGGGGGGGGGGAGTCTAGTTGTGAAAATATAATACCAATGAATAGTATGTTAAACTGGCTGTAAACTATAGATTTGAATTGACGATACTTAGCAATTGCAAAATCGGTGAAATTAAGAAAGTGCCAAAATAAAGCAACTTGCAATCAATTGATTTTATTGCCAAGACTTGCTATATTGAGTCAGAATTAAGTCCTTACCTTACTTTCACCAAATGTCATAGTACCAAGGCAAATACTTGACACCTTGAGTCCACAATTTTTACTCAAATAGTTGTATGTTAACTTCCCTGCAGACATCTTTGGATTCTTTGAGAAAATTCAAGCAAGTATCGTTACCAAATATGACCAATGGTGTAGCTTAGCTGAGATTTATCGCTTGTAGTCTTATTTAACGTTTATCAACCTAACAGCTTTAGCAAATGTATATGAATGTACTTGTAAATTATTTTGTATCATGAGGTATACTTGACAGATTCATCTAGGTCAAAGTTCAGACATCTCAAATACAACTAATGTATGCTATATCTCTACAGAATTGATAATACGTATATCATGTATATGCATCCCATTCATGAACCAAGATAAGTATGTTAACATGTGATTTTGAGTGATATCTTTTATCAACTACATGTAGTTAAGAACAGGCAAAAACTATCTTGTGACATAATAACTCTATTTTGAATAAATGCAGCATTCATTTTGATACTTATGGGTTGAAGTGTGTTGGATCAACTTCTTATTCATCAATTGGCTTGACAGTGCAGGGATAGTTCAAAACAAAATGAATTTCCTAGATTTATATGATATACTATTTTTATTAATGCCATTTTCAATATGAACATAATTTGCCGATATGAAGTGCACATCCACACATTTCAAACAATGTTCAAACTCAGAAAATAACTCATATATTCAATTTAGATCAAAACTATGATCAAATTATATGAATATACAGGGTGTCCCGAAAGTATGCCCCTACCCTAGGCAGACAGGTATCAATGTGTCCATAGTATAATGTCATGTATCATTTTAAAGCTCATCCAAAGTGGGAAAAAGTTGCATTTCAAAATTTAGTGCTTGGCCAAAATAAAGTCAGTTTTATACACCAAAATAATAGGGGGGGGGGGGGGTGTCTCCTAGGCCAGCAGCAGCAATGCTTTTGATATATGACCTTAAACCCACTTCAAATACAGTAGGGATATGGCAATTTGTAATCCTCATAAAACCTTTTTAAGGCAATTTAGAAGTTTCCTTGGAGTATCTTCCCTAAACGTCCTCTTTTTAGAACTCAATATCCATCCTATCTTTGACATTAGCACTCATATTTTCGGTCACATTCAGATCAGTGCTGTTTCCAGGATACTGAAATGAACTATATTTTTGGCCAAACACTAAGTTTTGAAGTTGAACCATGATATTTGACAAATCAATGTAACTTTGAGCTTTAAAATGATAGATGACACATACTATGGAGACATTGGTATATGTCTGCCCAAGGGGGAGGGTCCATACTTTCGGGCACCCTGTACATGTAATTAGTGCTAATATGAAATCTGAAGGTTTGGTAGCATTTAAGAACAAATCAACATCCTTACATAGCAAAAACAGTTTATTCTTACTCTATACTGCTCTTTTAACTAAGCGACAACTATACATATGAAACAGGGTATCTGAATGGTTTGAAGCGTACACCAGCTACTACAGCTGGACAACCAAAAGGATGCACCACCCTTGTTTAAAAGTTAGTTACACTGTAAAGTAGAAAGACCAAATGTGAAAACTTGGACCATTTTGATTCCTTTACACATACTGCCATAAATTACAGCAATTTATAGAGTTACGTTTTAACTGAATGTAACACTTTTTGTCCATTTTGCGTACTGGAGTATGGTGCTTCAATTAATTTTATTGATTAGAAATTGCTTAATTTGAAATGTCTTGATTTAATGTTCTCCCTCCATCAAAACCAAGGTATTAACATAACATACAGGTCATTTACCTGTCTTTTCAATCTCAATTTGTTCAATTGATTCCATTACATGTATTAGTGTTCGATATATTCAAAAGTTTGCAACTGTAAAGTCTAACAGTGATCTCCACAGGATTTTTTCTCAAGTGGGTGCAAACTTCTCATTTTCACAATTCTGATCAAAATTGGCCAAAATATGCCAATTTTTCATGATTTTCTAATTTTTTCTCATTTGTCTTCACTCTTTCAGTTAACAATAAATCTCTGATCTCACCAAGCCAATCACAGTTCATCATCATAGTTAATGAGCACGTATTTAGTATGTGTTCCTTTCACTTTGCTGACTGGTTGAGAAAGGGTCAGCATGGTAGATTTGAAATTATTTATTTCAAGAATGTGCAGAAAAAATGTTGGGCCCCTAAAACCAAAAATTGGGCCCAGATTTTGAAAAATCAAGGCCCATTTTTTGATAAATTGGCCAAAAAAGGCCCATTTTTGAGACCCTAGAAAATTTTGGGGCCCAAAAACTAAAACTCTGCACGCAAGGTAGAGGTTAACCTTTGGATAATAGAGACTTTAAGCAATGCATACAAAATCGAAATGTATAAATCGCCCTATACAAATGATGTAGTTTTCTCACATAAACAATCATTCAGTTAGTGTTTACTTTGTTACTAAGTCTATACATCATTGTGTCATATGCCATTGATTGTTATATAGCTGGTTTTTAATGATACATATTTTGAACAAGATATTTTGAACATATTCAGAACATATTGCCCATCGAAATCAAAATTGCCAGCATAGAATTCAATAGATATGTATAATAATCCACGTTGATACCAATGTGAAATTGCAAATCTCCCGTTCTAAACATGACACCAAGCTGATCAGTTATCTGAAGTAGACTAAGTAACACTTGTTTTGTATGCACGCTAAACACATTACTGTATTGATTTATTGATTTTGCGTTCACGGTTACGTTGTGAAAAACATCGCTAGCTTAAAGTCTCCATTATCAGGTATTGAGAGTCTATTGCCCGTGTGTCAGTCTTGAAGTTTCTGCAACAGTCTATTGTGTCCTATCACAAAGTCATCTTCATATACAGGTATTTTGAGTCTATTGCTTTTGTGTCAGTCTTGAAGGTTCTGCAACAGTCTTTTGCGTCCTATCACATAGTCATCTTCATCAACGTTCACCAGGAGTTGGATGGCCTCATGACCTACTGCTTGTTTTAGTGAATCTGGAAAACAACCAATTGAAACGTCAAGGAGAAGAGCTATTAGGAGATTGTCAATGTTTAACTGCAATGTTTAAAAAAACTAGAGTTTCTCTGAATAGTAATTTCAATTATGATGCTATATATACATTTACACCCCCTCACATAATAGGGAGTAAAAACAGCAACGGCATACATTTTGTGATGATAATGTCATCTATATTTAGTATTGTATAGGTCATGTAGACCTCCACTGTTTGATTTCTAGCAAAAAGATTGACTTTTGCACATTGGTGATTTGCACAAAATATAGTGAATGTTTTTGAGATAAAATATATGTATTGTTTTTTATTAATTTTAATGATAGACAGAAAATGGGATTGCTAAGTACCACTGGTATGCATATGAGTTGCTGTTTCTCAGATTATACAATTTACATTCCTTTAAGCAGCCAATTTGATAGTTTTGATGAATCCATTTTCAATTATGATGGTATATACCTGTATACATTTGGACCCCCCTCACTTAGTTGGGAGTAAGGGGATTGAACCCTTGGCAAATTACACCTCTTACCTGTCAGGAAGACTCCCTTCAGTGCCTCTAAAAGAGATCCATTGATATAATCCCTCCAGAAAGCATCCAGATATGTCAATTCTGAGAATTTAATGTCACAAATTATTGAACCAAGATCTCTGGATTTTAGTATTGTGTTGGCTTGCATAAATTTTTCAAATTGTCTATCGAGGGCATCTGGTTTGTTTGAGAAGATGTTGCCCTCAAGAGCGTTCTCATGGTTACAGTATTCAGCCCGGACACGAAGTCGAATATCTACAAAAAAAAAATTTTTCAACTAAGTAAATAAAGTTGATTTCATGTTAAAAAACCTACAAATTAATACAATCCATTATTCACAGACAAATTTGGAAGAAGATGTTTTAGTTAAAATATGATTTGCATGAGAGCCAAGAGATGGTGTCAAAATGTGAAGTTTCTTTTTTTTTAGTGAATCTTACAATGGGTTCAAACTCTTCCATCTTTATTTCAGCTTATAAATGATTACTTTTACTTTAAATACCCCATTAATGAAATATTGATATATTGAGCTTACCACATGTCTGTTTCCGTTTTGGTATGGTGCAATATGGTTTTGAATCCTTGGCAAGTTCTAATTTTTTCTTGATTCTATTTTCACGTTCAGTTCTTGACTTAGTACGTCGCAATCTTTTAGAAATCGGGGGTGACATATCAAGTCTTTCAGATGTACCTGGAGAACCATAAGAACTACTGCCTGGTAAACTATGTCCTTTTGTACTATCACTAGACGAAGCATGACCACTTGTACTATTGCTAAGTGATGCATCACTACTAGTACTATTGCTGGATGAAGCATGACCATTCGTACAATTGCTTGGTGAAGTTGTACCACTAACACTATTGGTTGGTGATGTGTGATCACTAGCACTGTTGAGACTTTTTGCATTGTTGTGAGGTGAACCATGTCCATACACGCCACTATTTGGTGGGTGGGTATATACAGGAGCATCAGCATGCTTCCTCTTTAATCCACGTTTCAGTGGGGTTTTGTTTTTTAGATTTTTATCTTTGATTGTCTGTTGGATATGATCTTCTTTATTTGCCATCTGTTCAAGGTACTGGTCAACAGGATCTCTTTTTACTGCAATAAATTAGAATATATAGTTAATAAATAGGTTTTATATCGAGATTATCTCAGTTTAACTGTGTTATCTGTATGATAATAACCAGTAACATATATTCTGATATAAAAGAGATTCAAAAATGTTTGTCAGATGCATTTCAGAATGATAATCAACTTTTAATGTCATGCATCACTCAAAATCATCAGATAAATCCAACTGTCTTAGTATTTATAATATCATTTATTGTATGATACAGGAAACTCATTTTGGTATCATATTCCACTGCAATTTTACCTGTCTGTGTCAAAATACAACAAACTTAATCAGAAATCATCATTCCTATTTTTCAAGAATAAATCTAAATAGTCACACAATGTCAAAGTTATATCATTTTTTATTTAGTTATTCATTATCATAATCATTTAGCATTACAGTGTTGGCACTCGATACCCATAAAAGGGTATATCAGTGCTAAAATCAAAAGTTGAACATCATAAAAATATATTACAATTTATATGTGACATATGTGACATGTGACATAGACAAATCAATCAACAGCATTCACAAGTTTTTTTTGCCATGCCCATTTACAAAAGGCGGGTAAGTGCCCAATCACTTGTCTACCTTAGATTAATAGAATTCTACAATTGCTGTCATCTTTACATCGGCCTGAAACCAATGAAACAAATGCAACAGTTACAATTTGCAACTGCTCATGAGCCCTCAATTATGTTAGATCTTACTTGAGTCTCTAGCTTACAGCTAGATGTGACTTCATTGATTTCGTATGTAATATAGAAAAATTTAAAAGTGTCACATGCACCTAGAACTCCGATTTAATAATTCTTATAAATATTAATAAGAATATTTAATTATATTTAAGTTGAATGAAGTGTTGCTTGTCTGGATTAAGATTTATACATATCACTCAGCTAAAAAATGGAGGCCATTTTGAATTGAAATTCCACTTAGCTAAATCAAGGAGGATTGGCTCCCAGAGTGCAACATCGATATTCTGTCCCATATATGAGCATGTCGTGATACAAAATTCGAATTCAAGCATCCGCCATTTTGTTCACTTCAACATTTGAATCGTGAATTTTGATCTTATTTCCTCACGAAAAATTCCAAAACTCACAAGAAATGATCGAGATATTAGTTCGAATCTTTTGGACCGTTTATTTTGAATTTATAGTCGGTTATAATTTCCGAAAATAACGGCATTTCGACGTTTTCATTGTTGGAAAATATCGAGTGTCGATCCTGGGAGCCAATCCTCCTTGTAGCTAAATTAAGGTCTCGGGGTAGTTATCAGAAATTTACACCAAACAGGAAATGAAAAAACCATGTGGATTTCAGAATTTTTTGAAGTAAGACAACAGAGTTCTGCTTTGATCTTCAGTCAGTTGTACTACTCCCAACCATATATCATTTATATGGCCAGGATCACAATGGTCATGGTCAGAACGACCCTAATACCATGCTGCAATAGCTTTTTCAGCCCTCTGAAAATGTGACTGAAAAAAAGTTAAAAGTTAGCGTTTCGGAAATGTCCTGAACAGAATATTTTGAATTTTTCAGAAAATGTGCCCAACATATTGCTTTGAATGATAGGGGCTTTGAAAATCTTTTATTCTTTTTATGACTACAATTTTTGTTTCAGACAATTTTTCTAATTTTCAAAGCTCCTATTACAATGTATTTTATTAAAAGCAATATATTGGACAGATTTTCTGAAAAATTAAAATATTCTGTTCAGTGACCTTCTCAGGGCTGTCAACTTGGGACCACCTAATATGAGTGACTTACAAATGTTGGACACCGAAGTCCAAATATGAACACTTTTGTCCAAATTCTGAACACCTTTGGCCAACTTTTAAACACCTTTGGCCAAAGTTTGAGCACCTTTGCTAAACTTTTATCACCTCAAATTTTTCGCGCTCGCTACGCTCGCGGTTTCGTCAACGGGGGGGGGGGGGGGGGGGGGGGGGGGGGGGGGGGGTAGGTACGAAAATTTCCAATGAACATGCGTGACATATACGGGATTCGCGTGACAAATCAGAACAAATTGCGTTCGTTTTTTTTCCGACGTTCGTATTTTTACCGTATCATAAACATATTTTGAAAAAAATTTTACAGAAACATATTTGCGTGACAATTACCAGGTAAAATGCGTATTTGCGTGACATTTTGTGTCACGCAAAAAAAACTGGCGTGACTTCAAATTCTTCAGCAAATGCGTGACAAATACGCAAATTGCGGGACGGTTGACAGGCCTGCCTTCTAGAAATGCTAACTTTTTTCAGTCACAATTTCAGAGGACTGCAAAAAGCTATTTCAGCATGGTATTAGGGTCATTTTGACCATGACCACTGTGATCATGGTCATGTAAATAATATATAGTAAACCTGATTGAAGGTTAAAGCAACACTCTGTTTCAAAAAATCCTAAAATCCACATGTTTTTTTCCATTTCATTTGGTGTAAAATTCTGATAACTACCCCGAGACCTTTAGGTCAGGGTGCATATTCGGAATCTTGCTGCAACCCTCAATAGGGTCACATTTTATTTTTCAAATTGGAATCATCCCTTCCCTACAATGTCTACATCTCTCACTTTTGCACTAATGTACCTAGAAAAGAATGTAGAGAAGAATGTTTTGATAAAATGTATAAAAAACAAGAAAATTCAGTTTTTATACATTTACAAAACAAATCTTCCCACCAGTCTTTTCTAGGCACATAAGTGCATTCTTTGTACAAAACTGAAAGATGTAGACAATGTGGGGAAGGAGTGATTCCTGTTTGAAAAATAACATGTGATTCAATCGAGGAATGCAGCAAAATTGCGAATATTGCACCTTGGCTTAAAATATATATAACAATCGATTAGACGGGGATATGAGCTGATATTCTGCAAATGTATGCGTAAAGGTTTGTTTCATATAATTATGGCGTAACATCTGTGCGTGTGTCACCACAATTTTCAAATACTGAATACCCGCTGCGCTGTAACAACCAATCAAAGCCAGAATTAGAGGACAATATCAATAAGCAGAACTTCAATTACAGAAATAGAGAAAATCTAGAGATATACCTGTCTTGTGTTTTGACAATGACAAAAGATGTATGATGTCAAGTCGTCCTATCACACGTAATAACCTGGAAATTGTTCTAAAATTTGAGGAATCAATTTTTCCAACTTTTTCAAGGGCCAACAAAAAGCTGTATCCGTCGTTTATTTGGCAAACTACGTCCCATTTTAGCACCGTTTTGTAGAGGCTTTTTAGTGTAGAAACATCTTTTGAGTTTAATTGGTCTCCTAAACGTCTAAACATGCCGTGAAGTGACAAAATGTCACTTTCTTTCCTTTTTTCAGAAAGTGCCATATTTCAACGACAGGTGCACGAGACTTTACGAGAACTAAGGGTTTCGTTCAGTGTAGCCTATTTCCGGATTGTGAAACTTTAAAAACTAACTTTATTTTTAGCCAAATCTCACGTTGTGGTGACCTTTGGACTGAGTTATCTTTATTGATAGATATTAAGTTTGTATCAAGCGTACGAGTGACAGTACATATTTAGTCTCTCCTTTTATATTATGCTAGGGAGTAGTCACATGCTATCTATTGCAAGACTAACGCCTGGTGTAACCGTCGCCATGTTATTTGGTGTTTTTTAAGTAGCGCAAGGATCCTGCAGTGTTATTTTGTAAGCCTGGTATAACCCTGACAACGCTGTATTATATTGCAAGGTCTGTCATGACCGTGGTAATGTTGAAGCCCAGTATGACCGTGACAATGCTTGCAAAGCCTGCCATGACCTTGACAATGCTATGTTATATTGCCGTATATATTATATGACCGTCATAATGATTGAAAGGCCTGTCATGACCGTCAGAATGTTAAGGCCTGTCATGACCATGGTAAGGTTAAAGCCTGATATGACCGTGACAATATGCTATATTATATTGCAAGGCCTGTCATGACTGTGGTAATGTTAAAGCCTAATATGACCATGACAATGCTTATAAGGCCTGTCATGACCGTGGTAATGTTAAAGCCTGATATGACCGTTACAATGCTTGCAAGGCCTGTCATGACCGTGACAATGCTATATGATATTGCAAGGCCTGTCATGACCGTGGTAATGTTAAGCCCCGTATGACCGTGACAATAGTTGCAAGGCCTCTCATGACCGTGGTTGTATTTAAAGTCGCATGAGAACACTGTAATGACAATTTTTCTTCGTGTTTAACTACCTTAAATATGTAAATAAAGACTACTAAAAATGTGAATTAATTTCACAACGAAAACCTAATTTTTACTCATAAATAATTTGCGAACAAACTATATCTCTACTCTCATTCAAGGAGCTTCGATTTGAAAGCATATACTTCCTATAATGATCAATTAATAAGATTTATCCATAAAAAATACCAACAGCAACGGGTGAAACATGAAGGTCATTAATGTCATATAAAGGTTGCGGTCGCGCCAGGCTTACACGATTACACTACCACGGTCATGGCAGGCATTTTAATATAACACAGCATTGTCGCGGTTATACTAGGCTTTCCCGATAACATTACCACGGTCATGGCAGGATCCTTGCGCTACTTAAAAAACACCGAATAACATGGTGACGGTTACGCCAGGCGTTAGTCTTGCAACAGATAGGGTCTCGGAGTAGTCTTGTAAGAAAAAGTAGGTCTACGGCCCATTTCACTGTTTTATTCACATGCAATCTATTCTAAGACGGGTGTCGACTTTTGGCTTGCAACCGAAGATACCCCAAGAAAAGCCAGAGATTGCTGAAGATTTTCTTTGCAAACGAAGTTGGCCGAAGGTACCACAAATGTGAAGAGGACGTCTCTAATTGGTCAAAAAGAGAGACTCGGCATTCTCCGTCAGATTGAACGGCAAAATTCGGTTTTATGGCTTACCTTCGGTTGTATGGCTTACCTTTGGCTGCATGGCCCAACCTCGATTGAATGGAAAAGATGCTGTCCCATTGTAAGACTCATGCCTGGCACAACTGTTATTAAGAGGAGGGAAAGCCCCAGAGCTTTAGCGATGACTGACATAATACATCTCTTGCGTACCTACTTCGTTTGCGCAAATTCTCACGAGTTAATTTTCGAACATAGTGCGTCGTCGTGATGTTTTAACCGATGTAAACATATTCCTCACATATTTCGTTATCATGATGTGAAAAACCAAGCTATGATATTGGTTAATATGCCAGGAATCAACATAAAATTATTCAAAGCGTTATTAGTAAATTTTGATTCCGCCATTTTGTTTATCGATTTAGACCAATCAGAGGTGTATGTCATCTCAATACAGGTTTACATTTATAAGCGTATGTCATCTTTGAACTCTGGGGTTAATCCCCCTCTTACTGTTATTATGGGTTTTTTAAGTTTTGCAAGGATCCTGCCATGACCATGGTAGTGTTATTGTGAAAGCCTGGCATAACCGTGACAATGCTATATATTATTGCAAGGCCTGTCTGGACTGTGGTAATGTTAAAGCCTGATATGAACGTGACAATGCTATATTATATTGCAAGGCCTGTCATGACTGGTAATGTTAAAGCCTGATGTGACAGTGCTATATTTTAGTAGCATGAGAATACCGTAATGAAACATGTCATCATTCAACTACCTTAAATATTTAAATGTAGACTACTATACATGTACATGGTAGATTATATCCTATTTAGTCTGAATATATTCAGACTATAAGCCACCTATGTTAAAGTGTGGTAATTCAAAATATTTCTTCACATCCTATGTTTAAGTGTGGTAATTCAAAATATTCTTCACATAGGAAGTGCTATCGAAAATGGCTTATTGGGTAAAATTAATTTGCACATTTGTTATTTTAACTAGCTTTATTTCCACTTGACAATATGCTGTGTTACTTTTTATTGCATTAATTGTACCTTACTACTTAATTGAATTTTTGTAATGTTTATTTTATGGAAGAAGTTCCTCTAATTGATAATTTTGTGCAAAAAATTTCACTGCAATTTCCACAGGACAGTAGTACATCATAACAGACTAACGTCTAGTCAGTCTGTTGGATACATACTAATGTATATGGTACCATCGGCTTTCTCACATACGTTGATACATAAAATTTTAGATTCATTTAACTCATAATTCATTTCCGCAAACTATAATTCTAATCTCATTCAAGAATGTGAACATTGTCACGGTCATATCAGGCTTTAACATTACCACGGTTATGATAGGCCTTGCAATACAGTATAGCAAGAAAAATTGATTTGTCTGCTCCAGGATCGGAAAGAAGGAAGTGCTTCTTACATCAACATCAACAAAAGTTCAATCCTCAAACATGTAAATGAGATGATAATTTATGACAAAGTTTATACAACTCAGTGTTATATCACTTTCATAACATACTTGATTTTGTCTTGAATGAATATATACAGTACATGTATAGGACCTATAAATAACCCTATACTATAGGTTTGCCTTGGAACCTTCAGAATTTCAGATGCTCCATTTCTCCTTAATTAGGATCATTAATGTTACGTCTTGTTTTATATTTTCCTCTGCGAGCATCTAAAACTAGTTGTAATACTGTTTACTACATATACACCGACTTAATTAGACTTTAGCATGTCGCGATTATAACAGTGGAGTCGAAATGATTATTTGAGACCCTCAAATGATAGCAATTGCGGCTCATTTATTTAGATTATTTTTTTGCATATAAAACAACTAAAACAAGTCAACTTTTAAACATTTCTATATTATATTCTTTGATTTTGTTTCATTCCAGTTCACTATATCAAGTTGGCAAGCATTCTTCACAGAAAAAAATTAATTCCTAAAATATCTGAACATGAGAAGGCAGTTCCGAACATCCATTCTCGAAGGTAAAATCGGACAGTTTGGACAATAATTCCGCTCTGTGTCAGCCCCAGTTGACTTGTGATATATTTCTGCAGTCTAGACCCTCATACGATGGCCTCATGTGACAGTTCAGAGGATGACCTAGAAGTAGCATCTGTTTTGTCTAAAGGTAATGTAAAACCTTCTGCAAAAGTCCAGTTAACTTTTAAATGAACTATTGGGTTCATTGGTTCATTTGATTGGTTGATTAAGGTGAGTTCATATAATACCACAGTCAGTAGTCTCATCAGCTATATCCCATTGTCCAAACAATTTCCTTAAAAAATCTCTAAAATAACTTTTAGTTAACATGCTTACTTAAATATGCATATATTTGTCTTTCAGGGAAGTATGGTTTCTACAGAGGGTGTCAATCACCTGGGAGATCGCCCAGAAGTCTGAGCTCCAATAAACACAGCTCCCCCAGGGTAATTAATTTCAATGTTCAGCTTAGATCATACTACAAGTACAGTATTTTGTCTAGTCTGTTACAATTGGCAGGTGGTGTAACTTTACATATAATGCCTTGTCTGTACATCTTGATTCACAAGGTTCCGATTGTTCCTACATTACCTTGATAAATCTGCCCGATTTAACTGACCGCTGTGTAAATAAACCCCAGCTGAGTTCACTCTCAATATTGCTCCTCCTGGCAGTTGCCCACAGAGTTTTGTGAGATGCCACAAAACTAATCCGCCAATCAACGATTCGATATTTATTTTGTCCGTATAGACATTTTCAATATTTTGTCATGTGACGAAGCAGAAACGCGAATAGTAACAGAGCGTTCTGATTGGGTCCATGGACTTAACACCAGGCCATGAACCATTTCATATGAATGGGAGATACAAATTGACTTTTTATGCCACAGGGTCTCTAGAACCAGTGGAAAGCGACAATGTTGTCTTTAGTCGGTGAAAAATGCAGTTTTTTTTTATGTTTGACTCTCAAGAATTATTTCAATTAATACTATTCACGTTTCTTCCAGACTAGACTACCACTTGCATTAACACTTTTGAATTGATGAAAGTTATTTGGATAATTTGACCTCCGTGTTTAAACATGGTTCTTGAAAGCCCATGGTTTTAATAACTGTCACTTAGGGCCATTATTAACAATTTTTGAAATTATAGAGTCATTTATATAATATGGCCTCCATCATGCTTTAAGGCCCATTATGTGCTGTTTATTTCCTAACAGACACATAATGTATGCTATTACTCATTATACTGAGCCAATTGGAGAGTTATTTATAAAGTGCAGAAGTCATTCAACTGATTTTCCACAATGAAAATAATAATAGGCAACAGCTGATGGGGATTGGAAAATGCAGCTATAAGCTGCTATATACATAGTTAGTCCTTGGGGGATTGTCATCTTTAAGAGGTTCTGTTGTTAGACTTGTTACATTATAGTGTTGTTAAGTAGAATTTAAAAGGTGTAAAAAGATCGATGGGAATTGAATGCATAAACACAATTTATGCGAAAACATAACATTGTTTTGTATTATTGGTCATGGGCATTAAATGAAGAAATGGTTCTGCTCTATTCAGAAATCAAGTTCAAACTTTCAAAGCAAATATAGATTGAAGATTAATTAAGGATTCCTTTTATTTATTGAATGTGAATGAGTCATATCATATCGTTATGTTTCATCCCTGATCACTTATTGCTTTAAAATGCTATTGAATAATAATGTTACATGAGACAATATAATACCACAATGAACTAATACAAAGATTTACTACCAAAGCTGTTTCATACAGGACAAAATCATTTCTTAAAGCATGTGACTCAAAAACACCAATAATTGAATTTTTTAATGAACTTATTTATCTTATTTTCTATTTTTCAGTGTTCATCGACTATTCTTACTAATGTTCACCGTGGGAATACAAGGACAGTGTCTCCTAAGTCAAATGGTATGTTAATACATTACAATGTACAGTGTATATTATTTGTAGGAATATACATAAGTTTAATTGAAATTCAAATAAATAATGTCAATTGAATGATTGTTCATGGCTGTATATGCGTATGTATATATAGCTTTTCATCAATAGGTGGCGATATAAGGCAATTTGATCAGGATGAAGCTTGGACAAAGTCCCCTTCTGTTTATTAGGATCTGTTTATATCTCATAAGAATATATTGGTTGAAAGTTGTTAAAAATAGATTTTTAATCCTTTTAAGGGGTACAGTACTATGCATTGTTATTATTAATACATTGTTATTGGGCAATTGGACAAATGTTACATATCCTTTACTTGTTTGCTTTAATTTCTTTTGTAAAAGTTTGAAATGAAATGGATTTTTGTTTTCTTCCAGCCCCATTCTTATGATTTTTGAGAGTACTGAAATGATTATTTTCTTACATATGCATATGAAATGATTTTTTTCTTACATATTCATTTCAGATATGATATCTTGTAACAGAGGAATCAAAGCAATCAAATATTCCATTTGTAGTTTTTGTTCAATAGCCAAACAATTATTTACCCCTAGAAATGTAGATTTTGGGGTCAAAAACCCAATTTTGACATCTTTTGCATCATTTGCAGTGTGTAAGGCCTGTATTAAGATTCAAATAATATATTCACAGGAGAATTTGTCCCTGTTTGAACAATGGTTCTCAGATTGCCACATAACAATTGATTGTTAGTACAAGAGATTGCTCGAGTGATTAAGTATGTTTTTCTGCAAAATGTCCCTGGGTTAAATTCCCAGGAACAAACATTGTACATTGCATTTTCAAGAATGAGCCTCAGGTCACTTACTGAGTATGCTAGTGTTATTAAACAAATCTTCCGTCTGAATTTGTTTACTTGAAAAACAAATCATTAATTTGGATTTTTAGCAAAATCCATTTTACTGTCATAGCATTCATTATTCAAAGCTGAAACAATAATGTAATAATATTACTATTTTTTAAAGCTTATGAGAAAAATAGCAACATTGACTTAAGTGTTATTTCTTCGGAAGAGTCCATTTAAAAAGGGGTAAATGTTTATAAACATGCCATCAGGTTTACATACAGTACAAGAATAATGTTTCCAAATTGTTCAACTGTAAATATGTTGAGAATTTACTTTTTTCAGAAAAAACAAACACCTGGCTCATCCAAATACTGAAATCTGAACACTTTTTTTCAGTCCCATTTTTCCCTCCCATTGATTCCAATGTTAAAAATGCTTTCAAATTTGCATACCTCCCAATGTGAACTGTGAGCAGTCATATTTGAAAATTAACCTGACTAATCTGAACAGAATTTTGATAAGATATTACCCTACAGAAATCTCTCAATTAGTCACTGTTTTATCATGATATCCAAATTATTGGAAAAAATTGAATAGTTTGAATTATTCATTTGAATCAGATTTTTTCAAATAATTGGAATGCCATAAAGCTATGTGGTAAAAATCTTTATCGAGAATGTGTTCACATTTTTTTAAAACAAGAATCTCGTGACTGCAAAAACCTCAAAATGTGAACACCTCCTAAACCAAACGCTTTAAGCTGGTCCCAATGATGTTCAGATTAGACATGTTCTGCTGTATAGCCAATAACAAATATGTGGTATCTGATATAGGTACACGTGCCCTTTACATGTACAATGGTATTTGGATAACAAAATATTATCGAATATTGTTCAACATATTTGTTTGGCTCATTTAAGGATTTAAGCCTTGGACTCAGTGCCTTGTGTGCTGAACCATTCCAGGAAGATGTTGTTTCCAAATCTTTGCATGACCCGCAGGTGGAATGCAAAGTTTAGGAAACAACATCTGAGTGGAATGAAGCAGCCACAATGCATTGAGTCTTGGGCTTAAATTATTTTCACACATTGCAAAATATTTTCATAAAATCACCTAAAAGATACAAAATCACTAAAAGAACATATTTTCAATGAAACTTTTTGCAAGGGTCAAGTATTGGAAAACTCAATTTCAATCTCAATTGCATAGCAACTGTACACAACAAATGCGTTATTGATATTTCACACACTGTTCATTATGTGAATACTCTGTTCCGATTGGCTGGAATCGGACACACCTTACCTAGCTATGTGTGAATAAAGGATTTAAGCCCAAGACTCAGTGCATTGTTTGCTGAATCATACCATGAAGGTGTTGTTTCCAATCCTTTATATGACCACGCAGCGGGAATGCAAAGTTTAGGAAACAACGCCTGAGTGGAATGAAGCAGCTACAATGCATTGAGTCTTGGGCTTAAATTCTTTTCACACATTGCAATTTTTATATAAAATCATCTAAAAGGAACGAAATCACTAGAAGAACACATTTTCCATGAATTTTTTTGCAAGGGTCAAGTTGGCAAGTCATCACATTCCAGTTGAATAATCCATTCATCACCATGACAACTGTTACTACTGACCTTGCATGTGTTATTGATATTTCACACACTGTTCATTATGTGAATACTCTGTTTGGATTGGCTGGAATAGGACAAACCTTGCCTAGCTATGTGTGAATGATATTTAATATGAATTGATTATGCCTATATAAATATTCAAGCATATACTGTATTCAAGAGTTACATTTCAGGAGATATCTAGAATAAAAGAGAATAATAACATTATCCTTGCTGTCATCTTATACTCAAATGGATCAAACTTTGATGCTTGTAAACCCTATAAGGTTTCTCATACACTTTGAATATGATATGCATCCTCAGTTCATTTAAGAAACAACATCAGAAAATCTTTAACTGAAGCATGAGGCAATGTATTGTTTTTGCAGAATTGCCTGTTCAGCAAATAGCTGCCAGGGGTGACATACAACTTCTTCAATATGAACTTGACAAAGTTGAAGGTAAAAGTACATTTAATTCAAACGTGTCAATAAAAAAACCTTAGGCCAAGGCTAGGGCATTCAGTTTAAAATTCCTGAAATCCTGGGAAAATGATTTTCCTATAATTTCGAGGCCATACTTTAATACATTGTAGAAAAAGAGCAACATACAAAAGGTCACACATCTATCAGCTAAACCACAATTTATCTGTCTGAAATATACAAAAGTTTGGTTTCTGTGGTGTGTTTGTATCTTCAGAATTTTTTCTCTAGTGACAAATAAGTCTTGCCCCCTGCTATAGCTAAAACCTTAATAGATGTTACCTTGTGTGATATACAATCGGAAAGATCATTCAAAGTTATGTTAACTCACCAACTCTCATGTATTTTGGATGAAATTTACCTTTCTTTTCATGTTGTCCTTAGAAGTTAGTGTGCCCTACTCCAGTAGATTTTATTTCGTCAAAAATTAGAAGGATATGACCTCAACATTATGCCAAAAAGTTTCTTTTTCGCATTCCACTTCTTACAAAAAATGCACCACTATCCTTGCCCCTCTATTTTCTATACATCTATCCCTATCTACAAATTGATTAAATTCACTCATTAAATTCAACATGTGTAGTCATCTTGAGCTCCTTTGACTTTTCTAACACTTTTCTACAGCTAGACTGACTTGCTTCAAATTGACCATTTTTTTCAAAATTATCTACAAGTTATCAGAAGTTCAAATCTGACTTAAGATTTGAGATTTGACCTTCATTAACCGTCTCAAGGTGAAAAAGGGTCAAAAAGGTCTTTTTCAACTTGCTTCAAATTGACCATTTTTTCAAAAGAATCTAGAAGTTCTCAAAAGTTCAAATCTGACTATAGATTTGACCTTCAATGACTTTCTCAAGGTCAAAAAAATATTTGACCTTCAATGACCTTCTCAAGGTCAAAAAGGTATTCTTTCGACTTGCTTCAAATTGACCAATGTTTTTGAAAATTTCAAAATCATCTTCAAGTTTTCAGAAATTCAAATCTGACTTAAGATTGAACTAATAATATTGTAAGCAACTAGGTGGTGACATTTTGTCATGTTAATGCCTTGCTCTAGTTATTGTGATGCCACATATCATATTATATTAAAATAAGAGATTGTCAAACCTCCCTTTAATTTGGCCATTTTGAATATTTTTAGCCAGCTGTGCCAAAAGTTTGTGAGTGCATTTCCATGCAGAATTTTTGTAGTGTTCATTTCAATTTTTAGACTCCTTTTTATACGAATCTAAACCTGACCTGTTTTGTAGTGTATGTGTATGTATATATTTATTGCCCTTTATATAAAGGAGATACATGTATACAAATTATGTAAATGTTAAATTGAAAATAATCACTATTTACAAACAAACAATATTGCTGTTTTTGACTGACGACGACGCCTAGCTACCGCGTAGACGCACGTCGCCGACCAAAATTGGCCTAGCACCTAATTGTAACGCAATTATAAAAAAATGACTATATTTTACAAACATTCATTGTTTTGTTGTTGTTTTTTATACTGACGACGACGCCTAGCTACCGCGTAGACGCACGCCGCAGGCCTAGATAGACCTGTTACCTAACACTCTTGAGATTAATAAAAAATGACATTATGGATCTGCATTTTCTATAAAATTAAAAGGAAGACATACATGCATCTGAACGGCTGCAATTTGTTGTTGCTTTTTTGTACTGACGAGGACGCCTAGCTACCGCGTAGACGCCCGCCGTAGGCCTAGATAGACCTGTTACCTAACACTCTTGAGATTAATAAATAATGACATTATGGTATATGTAGTATGCCATGTGATTTTTCCCGAAGTGTGATATTAATCAATGCTAGTGTATTCTTATGATAAGCTACAAGCTAGAATGACTTAAGCTATTTTCTAATTTTCTCATGTTTTCTACTTTAGGTAGTACAATCAACCAGATTGATAGCAATGGATTCACTCCTCTCATGTGGACATGCATGAATGGACATACTGCTGCAGTTTCAGTTCTCCTTGAACGTGGGGCAAATATCGATATATCACCAGATGTAACATCACCCAGTGGCTTCCACCCACTGTTAATTGCCTGTAGTGAAGGCCATAGAATGATTGTGCAACATCTGCTTGACTATGGAGCAAGTGTTAATGAATGCGAACCTGTAAGTTTAAACTTTAGAAAAAGTTTATCTTCCTATTCCATCATATTTCTTAATGTAAACCTCTATTTTATGTCGCCATCATAAAATGTTGATACTGTTATAGTTTCTGATGTTTTTTTGTCGATGGCATTCACCAGTTAGTGTTTGTCATTTGATGGTTAGTGTTTGTTGTCTGTAACAAATGGCAGGTACTGACAATTTGCATGTAAATGCATTGTCTCAAAAGCAGACAGTTCAGACAACCCTCATAAATGTGGTGTTGATTTTTCAAATCACTGCTAGAACTACTTGTTTATTGAAATCTTGGGATTGTAAAACGTTGTAAGCAGTTGACACAAAGCTGAATTTTATTGAAATAACTGCTAATCCAGCATTTTTTCAACCACAAGATTTCAATCAAGTGTAGTTGTGGCAGTGATCTGAAAATCAATCCCACATGTATGTGGCTTCTTCAGACCCAAGCTATCTTTTCCAACTACTGCTTGTCAGCAGGGGCACCACCTACAACTTGATAAAATACACAAATATCAAACCCAGAGGAAATTATGTGACTCTAAAATGATTAATTAATTGAGGTTTTAGACATTTTTCAAAGTTGTACCTTATTTACAGTGATAACTTCCATATAAAACATTTGACACATTATACATCTTTGAAGTTTTGAAAAAGCACAATGTCTGCTAATCTGAACACATATGGCTAGTCCCATCGGGATTTGGTTTTTACTGAACATCTCTGAATCATGGGATAAGTACATATACATGTATGTTTCAGGAAAATGAAACGAGTGGTCTCTTGTATGCAGTATATGGTGGTCATTCTGCAGTGGTAGACTTACTCCTTGAAAGAGGAGCTGATGTAACACATACCAACGAAGATGGTCTCACTGCCTTGGACTTGGCCTATCAGATGCATAATACTCAAGGTAGATATACATGTCAGTGATATCCCCAGCATTAATGCAAGTGGGCGCTGCACCCACTTGAGATTTTAATAATAGGCATGCACCCACCTGAGAGTCCATAATTGGATAATTCTTCCAGGGATAATGAATGGTAGACAATCATTACAGTGGGTATTATGGATTAGGTGCTGATAATGTACAAAATTTATGTCCTGATGGAAACCCATTCAGGAAGGCTCTTCATTAAAGTCCTTTTAAAGTTCTTTGTTCATGCGTATGTACCAGTATATATGTATAGTTTAATAAATGCAATACTTATAAATTTTAAATATAGTGAAGCAATTACTTTTTACAGCACTATGAGTGATTTATATTGATTTGGAAAAATTGAAAATATTGTTATACATCGAAATAATTTGGTTATGGCTTATGAAAATGTTTAAGACATCTAAAAAAATTACTATCGCCAAAAGATTTTTGGTCTTTACTTTTTCTAAAAAAATCTGGGAAAGGGGGGATGTCTCTGAGACAATACACCATAGTTTCTACATGTAGCTGTTTTAACCATGATTGTCTATTTGAAGAGATTTATCTCTTGAAAAGCCCATAGATGTTCTTTTGAATATCGAACTCCTAAGAGAACTTTTACGATATGTGGGACGTAGACCTCCACAGGGGGAAATTTTGGTAATTGAAGTTGCATTTGCAAGCTATGACAGTATGATGACTATTTGTTATTTCAATTTGCGATAAAACACGACCCATCGTCGAGTTTGTTTGGGCAACCCGATGAGAAAAATGCAAGTTGACTCTTTTATATATTACAAAGTGTTCTTCATATGCTATTTTTTTTATTAAAAACACATTTGAATATTTATGATAAATGTATATTCCTATAATCATGTAGTCTTATTGTCTGAATGATTGCCGGTCTTTGGTTTGCCTAATTTATTCAATTTGTTAGAAGACTAGCACTCGTATCACAATTATTTATATGATATGATTAACGGGATAGGGAAAGGTGAAGATATCATTCTCACTGGCGCAGTATCCAAACTGTGTGCGTTCAATGCACGCAGTTTGAAACACTGACACTGCATGGTATGCACGCAGTTTGGGTACCACGCTGTGATTCTGTGTTTTCATTAATCAATTATTTCATTGTGATCAATTGTGCTGAATGACTTAGCTCTGGGCCTTAGTTGAATCAATGTTTTATTGGCCTGTGCTGTGCCATAATCTAAAGGCATTAATATCATTTAACCATATGAGATGCATATAATTATTTCTACAGTAGTCCATTTACATAATTAGATAATAAGGCACATAGCCAGGGGTTTCCACCAAGGGGTTCACTTAAAAAAGAAAAAGGGTTTTCTACAAGCCCTTTGAACCCTGGCCCTACTTGAAATTGCAGGCCCATTTAAAAAAAAACATTTCTTAAGTTTTAATTTTCAATTTTAAGATACAGTAAAACCTGTTTATAGCAAACGCCAAAAAGCATTTAGATTAGGAGGTGTTCGGATTTTGAGGTTTTTGCATCTGCTAGATTCTGGATTTTTAAGAAATAAAATGCATTCCCAATGAATATTAATATTCTATTGACCAAAGTTTTTTTTTTAATGTGAGAGTCAATGGGAGGAAAAAAGTGTTTGAAATTGGAAGGTTTTTGGACTAGGGTTTCACTGTATTCAGGCCATGTTACAAATTATTACTAAATGCAAACATGAGAGGTTTGATCACTTAGGGTTTTTATTACATATTTTGTTAACAGATAAGTGTTTGTTGTCTAAACAAGGATTTCCTTGACCACACATATTGTTTGGCCCTCCCATCTTGCTGGAAAATACAAACACTATCTTGATTTTCATTGTATATGGACATCATTTATAATGAAATGCTTTATTATGTTCCATATTAATGTAAACAGTGTACTGAGGAATTATGTGTAGCAGTGCTTTATTCGACTTTAATTTGGTGCTTCTTAATTTGGCAATTTTGTGTTTTTGGGCCTTATCTTTGATAACTCAAATACCAGTTGACGGATTTGGTTCAAATATTATGTGCTGATGCCTGGGGACAAACCCCAGTAACTCAAATCCCAGTGGGCGGATTTGGTTCTTTTATATGATGATTCGATACGGACAAAGGAGCTCTGCTTGAGAAGAAATTTTTGAGATGACAGTTGAATTTCAAAATGCCGCCATTTTTCATAAAGAACATTATAGCTGATAATGCAAATACCAGTGGACAGATTTGGTTTGAATTTTATATGCTGATACCTAGTGATAAAGGAGTTCCATTCTCTGCCTGAGTGATATTCTATGCCCAGTGCCTTCAGGAAATATCAATAATTATCCCACTGCATGAAGTTTGAGATGGATATAGACAAGCCATCCATCCTTCCATTTGTCTGTCCATCTATATTTATTCTGGGTAGCTCTATAAATTCAAAATTGGTCTTCCTAGAGGCCCAGTAATAGTCTACAATTATTTACAATATGTATAATAAATATAGAAACATACAAATAGATATTTAGGACATATAGAACAATTTGATATACAGGGTGTCCGGAAAGTAAAGATACAAATGCTCTCATTTTAAGAGATTTACATGTTATGAGATGAAATTGCTCCAGAATGTAGAATGACATTATAGCAATATATCCTGCAACGGTCATGGCTTTTAGTTTTAAAATGAAAAAGTTATGGTCGTTATGGTAACGGGAGTCAAGGGTATGTGGAGCAACGTCACATATGTGTTTTACAAATCTCTTTCCTGCTCATAGCATCTTGGCATTCTTCCATTTATTTCTATATTACATCAAATTATGTACTACAACAGCATAAGGACTAGTACTGTAACATTATTTGATCTCTTAATATAACTACTATCATTGAATATTCAATATTTTCCCCATTATCTAAACATTTTTGGTGCATCTTGACCGCCGATTCAAAGACTTGACAAAATCATTGCTGTCCGTCTCTCAAATTGCTTATAGCATTGACTTCCAGCTGAGACTCATTTTGTATGTCGAACTTCTTACAAATATTGCTTTCAGATGGTCATTAGGTAGAAGTCAAAAAAGGCTCTATCAGGTGAATATGGGGCATTGCATAGGAAGGTTTAATGTCAAGACAATCCATTGTAAGAATTGTTTTCTTTGCTTTGAGAATGGGTGTATTATGGAGATGCAATATTGACTTTCCAACTAAATCCAGAGGCTCTAAACACTTGTATGATATTTCTTTGATTATACTGGTTAGTGAAATAAAATAGTTCTGATATGTAACAATGACATCATTATATAAAAGAAAAACTATGGCAGTAATAATACAAACAACAAACAAAATTTAGCAAAACATTGATAGAAAATACGACAAAAAACGCTGTTTCAGATGATTGTATTTTAGCAATTTTTGACATTTTAGCAATGTTCTGGAACTGCTCCGCATACCCCTCACAGCCGTAACCATAACAACCGTAACTTGATCACGCTAAGACTATATGTGATGAAAATTGGTAGATATATTGTAATAATCTTGCTCTACAATCTGTAGCAGTTTCATTTCAAAAGACCCAAATCTCTTAAAACAAGAGCATTTGTATCTTTACTTTCCGGACACCCTGTATATGCATCTTCAAAGTATGCATTTAGATGAAACATAGAGAACAACTTATAAGAGAATTACATGAATATAAGGAACAATGTCTCTAAATAATGCATTTACATAATTTTCATTTTCTGATCTGATAAACTTGTTTAGTGTTGTAGTATTATATGCTTTCTTTTTGACAGTCTTATCAAGCTTGTTCCAAAGATGCAAACCACTGTATGATATGCTTTTCTTAAATATTTCAAGTTTAGGTTTTGGTACATAAAGTGAATTTTCCACAAATGCTCTAGTAGCATAATTATGGACAGACTTTGTCTCTTTGAAATAGTTTTGAATATATGGAGGAGATGAAATGGCCTGGTACATTAAATTGATTTCCTGTATCTAATCATTTCTTGAATTGGAGTCCAATTTAGGGACTCAAATAAAGCGACACTCGAAACATCAAAAATAACTCTCAGTATAATTTGTGCTGCCATCTTTTGAAGTTTCTCTAGTCTAGTCAGATAGATTTTATTAGAACATTCCCCCCAGACAATTGAGCAGTAATTGAATTCTGGTAATATGATTGTATTATAAATTGTGATGAGTGCTTACCTTAAAACAAATGGTTTAAGCCTTAAAATACCTATGTTACAAGAAATCTTTGAACAAAAATTTTCATCCATTCATCATTGTTTAATAATTGTTTAGTATCAATTATGGGTGACCAAAATTAAGAGAAAAAATATAATTTTTCACAAGTTTTCAGATTTGGCTTTTATTTCATGTGCTGATGCCTTACAGGTACACATATAACTCTGCTCAACAAGGAATTCTTAACAAGGCTACTGAATTCAAAATGGCTGAATTCAAAATTTTTCAAGAGAAATATGTTTATGATGCAATTAAATACTGTTTTAAGGCTGGAATGGATCATGGCCATAGGATTTCTATTGAAGAAGGATTTAATAATTAAATGATGTCACGCCATGGTTATAGATTTTGCAAAAAAGAGACAATATTGTTATACTCCTGCATGGTTATTTTGATCATGTTAGGTTGAAAATGATGAGTGATTTGATGTATATATTTTGTTTGGTAGGTTTTTTCCACTTCAAGAGTTGTTGTTTTTCTAGTTGTTCCATAAACAAGAAAAATACCTTTGTTCTCTTCAAGGATTCTCATGTTTATCACTTACATGGCTTTAGGCAGAATATTAACTTATTCATATTCCTCGTTAAGTATAATACATCTCCTCAGCTTTCAGATATTTATTTATTATTTTCCTTCCTGTTGCCATCAATATTTCCAATATTTTATTACTATGCCCGAAGCATGATATTGATAACATTTCTCATAATTCTGTGATTTCATTCTTGTTTGTGTCTTTTTTGCTTTGAGTACAAAATTTACTTTGAAAATGTGTTAAATTGAAATTGTTTTTGGAATCTTTTAGAAATATAGAGGTGCTTAATCATAGGACCCTCAGATGCTGTATTGTAATTGAGTCAATTGTGTGGCAATTGAGTCAATTGTGTGGCAATTGAGTCAATTGTGTGACAATTGTGTCAATTGTTTTTAACACTATTTATTATCGTATCTTGTCTGATTTAATAAAGTTGAAAAGTGATGGGAAATATTGTGCACTAGATTAGAGTATTATGAATGTTGACTACACCAAATAATCATTTTGTTGAGTACTTTAAATCGTCATCGCCTAACTGCTCTTTACTACAGTGCAATTTAAGCATTAATTTACTTGTTGACCCGTGGAATGTGTAGTACACATTAATGGTTGGCTGGTAGTGAATTTTTGTGTCTCAGAGGTATATCATTCGTACTTTTTGCAAGTCGTAAGCAACATTTTGTGTGAATAAGTATTGCAATTATTGTTTTTATTTCAATTCTATGATATTTTGTTTTTATGTGAGTATTGTAAATATGTAATCGAAGGCGTGTGCAAACATAAGTTTATATAATATGTCTTTGAACTACATCTATTTGAAACAAAAATGTATAGATATAATATGTTTATAGGACATTCATTCGTCCAAACAATCTGAAATTAAATTTGAACAAGACTGGGGAAGCAAGGCCTTTATTAGTTCATATAAGAGTAACAGTAGAGGCCCAGTAGAGGTGTAGGCATTTTTATTAGGGAAAATCTCATATTATATAAAGTGTACAACAGCGACATAAAAGCAAACGGTTATTTTGTAATTCTAGATATTCAGATAGGAGATAGGAAATTTTCACTGGTCTCACTTTATGGACAAAATACTGATTCACCTACTTTTTATACTGACCTTAAAGCCAGACTCAAAATGTTGGGAGATGGCAATCAGAGAATCATTTTAGAAAAAAGATATGAAAATGTGGATAGCATCAAACAAGAATTTAAAGAATATAGGGATGATTATGTCAAAGGACTTATTATTAGGGTGCGAGTTGAGTTGTACGAAGAGGGAGAGGGTGTTTTAATATAATATAATTTCGGTAGATCAGAAAGCATATTTAATGGGTCCGGAGATGGCTGAAAATACACGACCAGTGTATGACGTCATGGATTATCTTAATAGAAATGAGCAAAATGGTCTATTACTTTTAGCAGATTCTGAGAAAGCCTTGGACAGTATCAAATGGGTTTACTTGGAAAAATGAGGACATTTAAATCTACTAGATGTAAAAATAACAAATTGGTCTGAAGTGGGTGGTAACGCTCAATTAGACCTATTCAATAAAGTACAAGTCTCGATTTGGGGAAAGAAGTTCACCAGTGTACTGCGCTAATATTTTTTTGCGAAAAATTTAGAAATATTACCCAAATTAGATTATGACTATTCAAAAGAAGACATTCAAATCTATATTATGTAAAAAAATCAAATTTGTCCGAAGCAGGGATAATGCTCATTTAGATTGATGAACTTCGTTCTCCAAACCGAGAATCATCCTTAGATAAAGAAAAAAATCAACAATTTGGTTAGGAAGCAAACAAAACTCAGAAAAATGTGTGAAGATATTCCACTTAATTTTGGAGATAGCTTATATGGGAATCTAAGTTTAGGCTACTTGGGTTAAATATAACATCAGAATTTCAAAATATTGAATCCATTAATTTAAAAAAATAAAATTCAGGAAATGCAAACCATAATAAGTAGATATAAAAAAGAAACTTGTCTATACTAGGGAAAATAACGGATTGGATTGAAATTCCAAACCCAGTGTACAGAGTTCAATCCTTTGAATATAAGGGAGCATATCGAAAGATCGACATCGGAAAAATAACTGTATTTACACAGTTAGGGGGAAGGGGTCATTGGCCTAAAAAGTTACCATTCCAACATCGTTCCCTGGAATTCAATTAGTGATGCTCTTTTCGAAAAAAAATTAAATTTAAATTTAAATCTTACTAAAAATGAGTTTTTTGAAGCCAATATACGTTAAACCAAGTAATAAATACGAGAAGTTTGTAAATGGGGTGTAGTTCACATCGCAAAAACTCCGAACCATATTATGTTAGATATAGTGTTACTTTCGAAATAACGCATATCAACATTTCTCAAACACAGTTATGAGAGGGGAGGGAGTCACCGATTAACTGTGCAAATACAGTTAATAATCCTACATTGAACTTTTGATATGCTCCCTAATTGCTGTGCCCCCTACCTTGAATATCATGACATGGTCCACTTTCTGACTCAAACTTTACATGTCTATAATGCCAATTACTCCAGATTAGGAATCCTGCAAAAAAACTGGGGAAGTGTAGCAAGACACAATTATTAATTACAATTGATCTTAATCACGACATGCAATACTGCACCAATTTAGTTATTGAATTTATATCAATGCCTGTTCATAAGTAAAATGACACTTATACTAGAACAGTCACAGGTGAACCATGCAGCTAGTAGTCATGTGTCTACTATCCACGATGCCCATGTCAAGCAGCGTGCCTACTAGGCACGCAGTTTGAAACTCTGACAAACTGCGCGCATATTTCAAAATGTGAGACGGGGAGGACACGACTCCCAAAAAGAGCCAAAATACGAAAAATACAAGGTTAGTCTCGTTCTAAATATAGTACCATTCTGTGAAGATGAACTTAATTTACTCATAGTACTCAATGTTGTTCCCCATGTAAACCTAGTTATCTCAATATAAGGGTCTTAAGTAACTTCTGTGTTCAAAATTTACAGTGTAAAGTTATATCTATGTCTTTTTATCGTCATTTGCCGTTTATTCAGCCATTGTGCCTGTGTATGCTAGAATATATAGGATCACTCCATCTGATTAAAGCAGCAAAGTTTGTGTTCAAAACGATAATACGCCATAAACGTGATTTAAACATTTTTCTTGTCAAACTGCGCGCCTAATATTTCCTAATTGTACATGTACTGCGTGCCTAATATTTCCAAACTGCTTGCCTATCCAAGCTTGTTTTGTATTATTAGAAAACATAAGCGCCATACAAGGCACAAATGTGTCTAATAGTAGAACCCCATAATTGAAACACTATGAGAGTCCATCCACCAAGATGGTGATCTGAAAATAAAAGTTTTTTTCGTTCCCAACTTAATTGTCACTTCTATTATACATTTTGACTTTCAATATGAAAATCTCATAAAATCTGACGATAAAGCAAAATTTCCAAAGCTACATGAAAAACACCTACACGTGCCTCTGTAGAAATTCCAATGATAATATGTAGTTTTGATAGTGTATGCGCACAGTTTTTAATTTCTGGCTAAAATAGGCGCGTAGTTTGTGGTTTATTTCTTTTTAATCTCCTGATTATCTGTTTTATCTGGAAATATTTTGAATTATACATGATAAATGTGTAAGGAATTAAATATAAAACGAGTCTAAAGTATTTGTCATTTATATTTAAAGTGCTAGATCGATTTACGTATAAATTCCCGTTAAATCAGTGACGAAAATGCCATTAATCTGCTTATGTTTTAAAACTTAGATTCATTTGCACATAGTTTTTGCTAGTATTTGCAAGATTCATATATTCGCCACAGAATGAACGCATTGATCAAGAAAACAATGCAGGATAAATGTCTTTAAATTTCGTTTCAAAATACAGACTCCAACTTAAATGATGCAATGTTCTTAGGCACGCAGTTTGTGATCGAAACAAACTACGCGCCTTAGTAGGCGCGCAGCTTGACATGGGCACCGTGCTATCATGGTAAAAAACTATATAAAAATATTTCATTTGGTTTTCTCCTAAAAGTAAAGTCATGTTTGTGAACATTTTTTCTTTTGTTTGAGACATGCGTCACTATACAATGAAAATACTGATTTTGTTTCATTGACTCAAGGTAATGTTTATTCTTACATGAATAGTCACTTAAAAAGGAAAATACTTTGTTTGGTTAGTGTGTTCTGATCTATTACTGCAGTAATTGAGCATACTTGTTATTTCAGAATTATATATTGATTCTTAAAAGGAGACACATTTTTAAATTACTCCAAAAATTGCTAAAATAGCCAACTCATTATGTTTGTCAATAGCAAAATATTTTTAGATTAACTCTAATGAAGTTGAAATTGGTTCATTTGAAATAATTGTTACCATGTTGACTTAAATGGAGAAAAGATTAAAATCTGTTATCCACACTGGGCATTTTTTCGCCAACTTATTGAACGACCTGTAATATGTTTTACCTTGTGTCATTTCAGTGCAGAAGGCCCTAGAGGGATATATCCTAGATGTACTGGAGAATGGATGAGGATCCTATGAATACAAAGATGAGTGGCTTGTTGTGAGACACTTAACTAATGAACCAAGTCATTATAGGAACACACATACCACCTACCCAAGTCATAACTTAGACTAGCCTCTGAGGCTTAAGGCATGCTAGGACATGTAAAGACTGAAGCTGTCCTCTCAGATCACTGTGCGAGGACGTGGTCAAGACTTATGCTGCGCTCTCAGATCACTGTGCTAGGATGTGGTCAAGACTTATGCTGCCCTCTCAGATCACTGTGCTAGGACGTGGTCAAGACTTATGCTGCGCTCTCAGATCACTGTGCTAGGATGTGGTCAAAACTTATGCTGCCCTCTCAGATCACTGTGCTAGGACGTGGTCAAGACTTATGCTGCCCTCTCAGATCACTGTGCTAGGACGTGGTCAAGACTCATGCTGGCCTCTCAGATCACTGTGCTAGGATGTGGTCAAAACTTCTGCTGCCCTCTCAGATCACTTTGCTAGGAAGTGGTCAAGACTTATGCTGCCCTCTCAGATCACTTTGCTAGGAAGTGGTCAAGACTTATGCTTCCTCTCAGATCACTGTGCTAGGAAGTGGTCAAGACTTATGCTGCGCTTTCAGATCACTGTGCTAGGACGTGGTCAAGACTTATTCTTCCTCTCATATCACTGGAAGTGGAATTTATTCTGAAAGAATGTGATTCACTTTCATATTATATTGTTAGGTTCTAATCTCAAAAGATTGATGATGAGTATATGTGTAACTGTGTAAACCATATATATTATGACCAATACATTGAATTGAATTGAATGATGATCATTATTACAGAAAGACATAAATGAAAAGCTATATCAAAATGATGAAACTCAGTAGAAAAAGGAAAAACTATGCTATTTGTAGAGTTAGGTACTAATTTAAAAATCATCCCAAAGAATTGGTATCGATATGGTGAACTGAATTCAACATTGTTTTTCTCTCAAACCAATTATTGAAAACATGCTGTAAAAAACATTGTCCTTTATGTAATTGTCACTGATTAACAACAATTTAATGCGAAAATTATTTATGTATATTTTATATTATTGTTTTTGTGAACAATTTTTGTTGATAGTGCAATTGTTTTTTTTCCTTTTCTACCAATTCTTGAGAATGAAAAAAAGATCTTTCCGAACCTTGTTGGAACAAAATTGTACACACAGCATTTTCTTAGTCCTCTCAATATTATAGTCATACAAAGGAAAAGTTGGTTGATTTAACAAAAAATATTCAAAAAATTAAAACAAAATCCCCCCAAAATAGATAAAAATCAAGATAAACCTTTTATTTCATTATTAACAAGATAGATTTTTAAAATCAAACAAAATTTCCTTTGTACAATTACAATATTGAGAGTCCTAAACATGTTGTGTTTACGTCGTTTTGTTCCAATGAGGTTCGGAAAGATGTTTCATTTCACTCTGGAAACATGATGCCAAGAACAAAACAAGTGTTTGGTGTTTTCTAAAACAATATAGATGAAAGTATATATAAATGTAAACCTTTTATTTCATTAGCAAGATGCTTTTTTAAAAATCAATCAAACTTTCCTTTGTACAATCATGTCTAAACGGAACAATTCTAGTGATAAATCTTTTTGTGTAGGACTACTCAAGGCTCAGTTCTGTGCTGAATTTTATTATGCGATTATAAATTAACGATATTTGTATGTTGATGAGATTTTTTCATTTTTTGATGTGGACATTATCAATCGTTATGTCTGCAATAACGATATTAAGGGGTTGATAGCGGGGGTTGATAGCTAAAGCAAATATTGATGACTGGATTAAAGCTTACATAAATATCCTCAGCGTTTATCATAGAAATCAAACTTGATTTTATTCTGAAAAAGCAATTTAGAAAAAAGCATTTGCTGTTAGCATTATCAAAGTAAAAAATGAAAAAATGATAAAATAAAGCTTCAAAAATGCACTCATATATTGTTTTATGCCACGATTAATGTGTTATCTGTACAATAACAGCTATTGATATTTCTGATATTATTGAAATCCGTGTGATATTTTCCAGAAAATCGTTTATCAAACTCATATGCGTGTGATATCGTTTATCTCACGCATATCCGTGTGATATCACATTTGCATTTCGCGCCACAATATTGTTGGAAATTAGGTCAGATAATTTATTCTCTTTTGAGAAAATAGGTTCGTTAATTTATTCTCTTTAAGTTTCATTGGTGTATTGAATTACGATTGTGTATATAATTTGATTAGAAGGCTGCTTACTAACGATTAAAAAATGGTATTTATGAGAACTATATCATGTTATTTACTTTTAATTGTAAAAATAAAGTGTTTCAAAGATTCAATTGATATTCTAATTTCTAGTTTATATTGTCTGTCAATGTCCTGGAAATTGGATCAGAACATCACAAGGTGATTGTAATCATGGGATAAACCCAATATCACATAATTTCTCGTGATATGATTTTATCGCCTCGTAGATATCAAATATCAACACTCATTCGCTTCGCTCACTCGTGTTGATATTTGTTATCAACTCGGCGATAAAAATGATATCACTCAAAATGATGTGATATTCTGTTGGAAACGAAACATCATATGAAGCAGTATTAGGTATCATTGGAAAGGTATTCAATGCCCAGTATGTTGAGCTTACTTATAATTATTTTGACGAAGAAGTTCATTTTCTAATAACATAGGGGTTTTATCGTTTCAAGTCAAAACTACTGACAATTTGGGTATTTTGTTGACTGACCAGCCCTAACTCAGTTGGTTTAGGCATGGGCTTTCAAATCTAGTTGAAAGCCCATCGTTTAGGGTCACAGTTTTCTCTCTAAAACATGCTTAATCCAAGCCAGAAAGTTTCAGATCAAAAGACAAACTGCGAAAAGGTTAGCGAAAAATTCCTTAGGTCCGCAAATAAACAATTTATGATATGTAAGTATGTCTAGGTCTTATTTGCTCCGATTCATCGGCCGATGCCGGCCGATTCAGTATTTCGTTCAAAATTGAAGGTCAAATTTGAGGTCAGATGTGAACTCTTGAGAACTTGTACAAGATTTTAAAAAGGCCGCGCCTGGAGAGCCTTAAAATTTAAGGCTCTCTAGCCAAAATGCTAAAGAGCCTTAAATTTTAAGGTTCTTTAGCATTTCGGCTAAAGAGCCTTAAATTTTAAGGCTCTTTAGCATTTTGATAGCCAATTCTGCTAGAGAGCCTTCAAGGAATTCCAGGCGACAGAAATGACGAAATATTGCTTCTGGGACAAGATCAAACGACTTTGACATATTCTATACCCAACCTTTTTTTGTAATTCAACAAATCAGCACAAATATACATACAATACTAGCAGATATCGGAGAAATTCAAAAAGAAATATTTTTTGATCGATAAAATCACTGATTATTAAACCGGAAGTGTCTTCTCTGAGGTCCGCAAAGAAGATGAAGAAGAAAACATATAAAGATTTCAGTCAATTCAATTTTGCCGTCGATTTAATTTTAAATGGTTTTGAATAATCTTTGAATGCTTACTGTGACTTCTATTAGTACTGTTTTGACTTCCCCATTTCATAAACAGAACATTATCACTTTTTACTCGACTCATAAATTTACTTCCGGTCTACCGGGAAAAATAAACGTTCTAAAACCTTTTCAATCCTCAGTCTAAATTTGGCTTTTTGAAGGTTCAAACGTTGACTTTGAATGGACCTTTATGCATATATCGAAAATAGGTTCACCAGAGAAGGTGTAAGACCCCGGGTGTAAGACCAGGCAATCACGTAAAAACTTTGATGACTTTGATGCTAGCCTAAAATCGTTGATATATACATAACAGATTTTTGATCAGAAGTTTTTGCAAAAAGTTTTGAAAAAATATCTTGTCAGATGAAAAATCCTAAAAACAGAATTGAAATTGAAGCATTACTTTTTGCTTGATTCATAAATCTACCTGTACTTCCGGTCTACCGAGAGAAATAAAAGAACCTTTTCAATCCTCAGTCTAAATTTGGCTTTTTAAAGGTTCAAACATCGATTTTGAACAGACCGTTCATGCATATATCGAAAATATATGTCTCTGATTCACCAGAGAAGGTGTAAGACCAGGCAATCACGTATATAGCCAGAAAAATGTTATTTTTACTTTTTTATCCACTATAAATCGCAACGTCCGTTTAGTAAAGATTTTGATGTATAGACATTTATTGATGGATTGGAGGCTAGGATAAAAATGTTGTTGTTGTGTTGCATAAGCCGCTGTTTCCTCCCGGTGTTTCCTCGACAGTTCACCTCTTGTACTGTAAATTTTCTTTGTGCCCTCTCATCGATGTGCTTAAATTTTCACTTGTGAGGAAAATATTATGCAAAAATATCTCGTCACGTGAAAAATTCTAAAATCAGCATTGAAATCTAATGAGCAATAGATTTGGAAGTGAATTCTGTGATGTCCCTGGGCTGATGTCCCTGCATTCACGATAAAATGCGTCAAGATGTGCTGATCTAGAAGAAACAAGATCCTTTTCATCCCCAGGTCTTCATCATACTTTTTGCCATCATAAAATGGGATTCCCTGTATTCTTGTGACTATAGCAAAGCCAATACAAGTGATTAATTTCATTAAACATTGATGATTGAGCGATATGGAGCAAGCCCAAGAATTCTAGAAAAATTGTGTACATAATTTCCGGACCTCAGAGAACAAACTTCCGGCTTGTTATTCAAAATAAAAAGTGCTCCGTTTGGGATTCGAACCCACGCCGCAGAGTAGATAGCGGGCACTCTAACCACTATACCAGTGTGTTTTTCCATGATTGGAATATTTTTTGCAACTCTTTAGTGATATACATGTGCGAAATTTTTAAGTGGCATTCTGGGTTGAAAAACTTTCGAGAGTGTTGTTTTATTGTTTAGATGACGAAAACTTCAATAAAAACAATATAAACACGGATTATAAACACAAAGGCTCTTTAGCCAAAACACTATGTTCACAGCTAAATAGCCTTAAATTTTAAGGCTCTTTAGCATTTTGGCTAAAGAGCCTTAAATTTTAAGGTACTCCAGGTACTCCTTGTCAATTTGAAGCAAGTTGAAATCAGTTTTGAACAAAATACAGCGATCGGCGCCGGCCGATGAACCGGAGCAAATGTGACCTAGGCATACATAGAGTTATTTACTTGGGGGAGGGAGGGTTTGAATATGGATTTCATACCGAGGACCGATAGTCATTTTTATTCCATCTATCTGTTTTTATATAATACCATCAGTGGGATATAGTCGTCATTATGACGCGTGATCGTTATCGTGATCGTCCCGCTTTCACGGAGGATAAGCAAAACGAGGGCGAAGCCACGGACTGCGACTCG